AACGGGCGCGTGCTCAATTCAAGCATCAAAGTGATAGCACGAGCTCCCGCTATCAAGGCGTAGCCCTATGCTCCTAATCAGCTGCAACCAAAGGTACAAGCGCGAGCTAGCCCGCGCTCCTGGCTTCGGGACATGCATTTCTAGCGCGAGCACTCGTTCTGTGGAAGTACGCTTCAAAGCGGTGACCTCGAGCTTTCGTGCTTGTGGCATTGGCTGCAATGTTAGCTTAAAGGAGCCATAAAACGATTTTTCTACTTTCGCTAAATACTGGTTAGAATCACCCCCTAACGTAAATAACTGAACAAACGTGCCTTAGTTTTTATTTCTAGGCAATGGCAGTCGTCAAAAAATGCGAGAAATATGAGCATCGTTCATCCCCTCAACTCGGATCCAGAACAAGCTGCCACGTGGCCTGGTGCCTATCCTATATCACCAACGTTAATCACAGCCACGCGCTGGAGTTGGCGAAGTAGAAAACGCGTGCTGAGCTCCAGGCATTGTTAGAATTCGGCTTCTCTCATCACCGCAGTGGTTGGACACGAACCACTACCCGAGTGTCCGCCGAGGCATTGATTGTTACGAGCCGAAGTCGAGTGCTCACGCAGTTCTCGTGTCCAATCCATGAGCTGGGCTCGATTGTCGTCAGGCGGGTGGTTTTGATCTCACAATGACGTAATCAAGCTTTGCGAAGGAAAGAGTGAAAAAAAATAGTCCCCTTTGAACCCTCGAAATTTCACTGCAACCAAGAAGCTTCCGAATCAGTAACGGTCTGTGCGAGTAAGACCTTTGCGAAAATCGCCTTCTGCGCTCTGCCATTTTTGTCTGCTGGGCTGCATAAACGTCTTCTGAGCATGCGCTGTTGATCTGCTGTGCGGTAGATCAGACGATGGGCGTGCGTTCAGAGCGCAGCGATTCAGCACTTTTGGCCCGAGTGATAAGCGATGGAAAGGTCCATACTTGGGCCAGACTAGAGGACCAATACGCCTCTGTAAAGTCATGAACATTCCCACCCGATATCGTTTCATGACACGTTTAATTCGTCACATCAAGGGGGCAATAGTAAAGCTTGTCATACGCCACCAAAGTTAGAAAAGTCAATGCAAGGAGAGCGACGCAACTACAGCGTGGGCGAAATGAATTGAACGCACTTTAAACTGACCGCATAAATCGGTTTCTTGACTTATGGCGCTGGGATTCACTAAAGGATTCACCACGGAGGTGCTCGAAGCGAGTGCATTTATTATTTGAGAGTATGAATACATGAAACTTCCGGAGTCAAAAGAAAGATAATAAAAACTGGTTTTGTCTGTGGAAAAGTTATCGCTAAGCCTTCTATCTCGAAATCATCAACAAAAGAAAAAAAAAATCGTTGTTGGCTATTTTGGAAAACGATTGAAAAAGTTGTGAAATACGAAGAAAATAGAATTGGCTTATTTATTATTCCTCACTTCATTTGGACCAAGTAAGTGCCACGGTAACGCATAATCGTTTTTTTTTTTAGTGTACATGCGGAGTATAGGAAAAACGTATGTTCATTTTTGTTTTTCTTGATTTACTCAGGTGAGCCAATCTTTCCACAATTCTAGCGAAAGCTTCTATAAACTTCAGGCACCTCTGTAGTAAATCCCAGCGCGATAAGTTAAGCAAGCGGTTTATGCGGTCAGTTTAAAGTGCGTTCAATCTATTTCGCCCACGCTGTATATATATATATATATATATATATATATACGTATATCTGTCTTATGCCAAATATAATATCCAAATGGGTAGCTCAATTGTTTTTTCTATTAATTAAAAAAAAAAGCTTTGCCGGGCATAAAGCTTTCCTCCGTCTATATGTGTGTCTACTCCGAATCACGAATCACATAAGATCCCTACACTCTATTAAAGCCCTTGCGTCTACTTTCCCGCGCAACATTCGGAGAGCCAATCAGTGCAACTTACGGAGGCAGCTCAGCGAATGACGATGCCGAAACATATGTTTAGACCAAAAAACGCAGTCTGAGTTGTGACATTAAGGAATGCAAAACATGACGCTTGCATTGCTTAATCTCACAACTCAGACTGCGTTTTTTTTGGTCTAAAGATATGTTTCGGCATCGTCATTGGCTCTCCCAGCGTTGTGCGGGAAAGCAGACGCACGGTATTTTTTTAGAGTGATAGCTTGGCACTAAAATGGTTCAGTAACAGGGCGGTGGCATTCAGATATGCGTAAATGGAACCGAAAGGCTCTTCCAGTATCGGTATACTTCTCGTACGCGGTACTGAGCTCTGCAATCTCCCCGCGCTTTCTGAACATGTATATACTTCACTTAATTTGTCTCTTATTTTTGTGAATGTATGTACCGTCAAATTTTGAGGGTTCTGAAAAGCTCGTAGTCTGCCATTAAACTACTCGAAGCATCTGACTGCGCCTTTGTAAATAATCATTGCTTTTCATTTTTTATACAATTAATTTAAATATAGGTTGTCAGAGACTCATAGATAAACTTTTCGTGAGTCACGTCTCGTTCTTTCGACGTGCGATAGTAATCTGTAAACGTTTCATTTGCACACACGCACATTTTTTTTTCTCTCCTGGTACGTTATCGATGGCGGGCTGAGCTGGAGTTAGGCTGGCCACGAAGAACCAATCAATGAGCGAAATTTACGTCCCCAGCTCCCGCTACGAAATTTTGCCCTCTGAGAGTATAGAATAGTTTTATGCAGGCCAGCGGTATGCAAAATACAACGTCAACGAACCAATTATTACGGAGCTTGAAAAAACCGCATTCCACGGTTGGCGTGCCATTGGCCGCATTGGGGAAAAAAAATATATATATATATATATCGCGTTTCGTGCGTTTTTTCATTTCTTTTTTCCCCGACGAGTTCTAACACAAAACACAGAGCGTTCATCGCTTCTCTTCGGGCAGTCCATTATGATCAAACACCATTACTGCTCGTGTTCAAAAAAAGAAAATGGATAACCGGGTAGAGCATGCTAATGATATGGGTCACCATGCTACGTCGCAGAACTGATAATGTCGCAGACGTTGACCGAATATTCTCCAACTAATTGGTCATCGGCTCCTCTATACCCGTTTTCACCCCATGAAAAAAAACAAGTTTTGCGCATTGTTTATACGCGGCGCGAAGTAGTTGTTACGAGATTTGGGTGTCGGAGGAAAATATACGATACTTTTGGCGTTTGGAACGTGTACGTCTTGATAAGAGAACACATATCTAATCTAAAATGCGCCTACATATTCTCTTAATCATCCACATAAAAGGGAATATTAGTAATGCTCCGCGAGGCGCCGGACTTTTTTTACTATGGTTCTTGAGGTGAATACGGGTATAGTCTGCTGCAACCGAATACGTGCAAAATATCCGCCTCCAGCAGGGTGGATAATAACAATCAAGATGATTGAAATCGTGAAATAAATCATGATTTACATGATGATATAAATCGCACCAATTTTTCTTCAATGATGTAAATGCACTCTAAAAAAAGCCCGTGCGTCTGCTTTCCCGCACGACACTCGGAGAGCCAATCACCGCAACTTACGGAGGCAGCTCAGCGAATGACGATGCCGAAACATATGTTTAGACCAAAAAAACGCTGTCTTGAGTTGTGACATTAAGCAATGCAAAACGTCACGCTTGCATTGCTTAATGTCACAACTCAGACTGCGTTTTTTGGTCTAAACATATGTTTTGGCATCGTCATTCGCTGAGCTGCCTCCGTAAGTTGCGGTGATTGGCTCTCCGAGTGTCGTGCGGGAAAGCAGACGCACGGGCTTTTTTTAGAATGTGAAACACTTTTCCCTAATATAATACTGATAATATTTTCTATTTACCATTTGTTTACCAGTATTGCTTCCCATAACCATGTATTTTTAATTTGGAGCAAAGCATTATTAAGCAGAAAATATTTGTATCAGGCAGTCATTTAAAAATACTTATCTATAGATGAAAAAGTTTTTTCTAGCTGAAGTGGTTTAAATCGTGTCAGTTGGATTTAAATAAAAATAAATCTAATTTACTTAAATAAAAATTAAGATATTTTCTTTTTTACCTTGACTTTCAGCATGCGCTAGTTGCCTTCCGTCGTGCTTGGGCTGCGCGTGCTCGCAAGACGCCGATGGGCCACCAGAGGGAGAAGGCTTCGCACTAGAGGCGATGCCTCGCATTTCCCCCCTTATTATACGCTTACCCGTTGCTTCCGCTGCAAATGGGCTTTCAGTGGCGAAAGACCGAGCCACCGAGACTGCGAGAGAATGGGATCCTAGCTGATCCCTATCTTACTTTTCATTGCCTTCACTGATTCAAGGACGTTAATTGATTGGCATTCCGAGCGCATCGCGGGGCACTAAAAATTCAGGAACCACCCGCGAATGTAGACTCGGCCGACTTCGAGAGACCCACCGGTTGCTGTTCCGGTTCCGCCGCGCGCAAGAGCGGCACGCTGTCTCGGGGCATTCCCGTTTCGGAGTAAACGGCCATTTTGTATCCGGTCAAAGGCGTCATAAAATTTAATGGAGGGTCAGGTTCAATCTCCACGCAATCTTTATGAGAGGAAGAAAAAGATGGGGGGCTATGGCCGTCCTTAACCCCTATTCCGCTATAGTATATACGCGGCTATTGTGGCGTCACGCTGCTTCGGTGGCGCTACTCTTGACGCAGACGCATCACGTGAATCTGGTTTCATCGCACCTCGGGGGAAGTTGAAGGAAAAGAGGGGGGGGGGGGGGGGGGGGGGGTCAAACGCAGGCTTGTTTTTAAACACCGCGTTGGCCTAGCCCTATTCGGGCATCCAGCAAAACTCTGAGTCCATTGCTTGCCTGCTGGAACCCGAACATTGTGCGTTAGAGCTGGCACGTGGCACGGCACGACCTGTTTAAGACCGCCATACTTGCCCGACGGTGGCGACCCCTATAGGTTGCTGATGTCGCGAAATAGCGCGAATCAAGATGGTAATTGTAACTCCCCTCTTACCACCCTTCCCTTCAGCTACCCGGGCCGTCATGGAGTCTAGGGCCGTTTTCGTCGGCGTCGTGGTTTTCTTCGCCGTGAGCCGGCTCGTCCTGTCGCACTTCAACGGTGAGTGACTCCGACGCGTTCGTGGGCCGTCGTCTCGTCAAAGCCGCGGTCACACTGCGAATACGCCATGCAAGGCTAGGTGGGGCAAGCTACAGCCGTTATAAAGGTCATTGCCAATATCATCCATCCAAAAGACAGCTTGAAGACACTGTCTGGGGTCACTTCTTCTCTGTATGACAGCTGTCATGATGGCCGTACAAGAAATGCCCACAGACCTGTTCAAAGCGTACACGTGTCTGAAGCAACCGTGCTTCGAACAAGCTTGAGAGCCTGTCCGCAGGTAATTGTGTCATCCTGTCTGCAGGGCGAACGTCTTTTGTGTGATGTACGAGCAGTGGGAGTTTCGCAAGGTGTCGTCGTTTAACTTTTCGCTAAAAGTCGCTCCACCACCATGTCGGCGTACGTAATGGAGCGATCGAAAGAAACACTGAAGCCCTCAAAGTAAAGACGGTGTTTTCGGGTCGGTGACAAGTTAGGAACGCAGTACGTATGCTCCGCCTCCACGTTGTCTTCCCCTGGGCTTTGCTGCGCATGCGACGAAGCCCTCTTCACGTTTGGTTTAGAATGAAAAGGCGCGCTTTCTTACGGCCTTCACAATGGGGATCTAGTTTCTCTCTGTCAGCGCAGCTCGGTGGAGTCGCTAGGTACGACCTTCACCCCTCCTACGGCGCTTTAACTCGTTCGAGCAAGACACCCTACTGTGTTGGCCACTTGGCCAGTTAAAGCTACAGCCCATGAGGCCGCCTGCCTGCAGGGACTTACGCAGAATATCTCTTCTTTTTTTCTCGTCTCAAGGAACAAATTTCCACAAGCAAGCGTCTACTTATTGTAAACCAAAAGTATTTCAATCAGCGCACTACTGTTGTTTCGTACGAGTATACATTGGCACACAGTTTCAATCACGGTGGTCGAAACAGTTGTTCAGGGTGGTTCAAGCAGTACTCGGAGGGGTGGAGTTGTTGCGTCCTCTCGTGGTAGAAGAACTCCCGTTGCTTCTAAATCGAAAGCCGATGCCGTAAGGAATGCCGTTGTTTAGCCCGGCCGTGAAGACAGAAAGGTCGCGCTGGAGGTGGGGGCATCTAGTTCAAACGCCTCACCAAGCAAGGGGAACCCCCGAGTACAGTCGCGTATTACGCTGACGCCGGCCATCACCCTGACTGATGCCGCACGGCAGTTACTAGCCACACTCTCATACCACTCTACATGAGGGGGTACTCACCTCCATGGCGGCCGCAACACTAGCGATCGCAGGGGCCATCACCCTCCCCGTACATCACCACAGTCAGATCCTCATTCGCACGGATAGTCAAGGAGCCTGTCGACAGTTTCGGGACAACACGCTCCCTCCCCACATACACTCTCTCGTCCAACAACACCTAACCGCTCACCCTTATCAACAAGTCACCATTCAGTGAGTTTCGGGCCATCGGAGTATGTGAGGAAAATCAAGAGCGCACGCGCGCGCTAAAGGAATTCTGCGGCATGCCACCCCCATGGCCCGAATCCTTTGACACACGCGAACACCGCAAGCAACTGCACGAAGCCCGAACAGTTATTCTTAAAGAACTGTGCCCGACCGCCTCGACTCTCCACCTTTCCCCTCTCTACTTCACACGTGAGGAGGGCGCCATTTATACTTCGTGCTCAAACTCATACACTCATGAGTCATGACACTCCCCTGTATACACACTTCGTACAGGGTGCTCCCTGGACGCCCCTCTTGCCCGCACTGCGAAGACTTCGCTTCCAACACACATACGATGTGGGAATGTCCGCACACGAGACCACTCATTTCTGCCACTTTACAACAACTCCCCCCGAACCTCCACCCTACCTCCTGGGAGAGCTGGCTCGCCCCACCAAAAGAACACCAACCCGACCTACTGCCACTATCTCTCTCTCTCTCTCTGTTCACTTTGTCCTGCCGAAGTTTAATGGCGGGAAAGAGCAGCCTATGGACACCATCAAAACTGAACATGATATATTATATAGTCGGTGACAGCTTCAAAAACGCAGGACTTGTCCCGAGCACATTATATACCTGTCTGCAGCGCAGTATTTGATTGATTGAACAAAGACCAATGACTGGTGTTCTGACTGCCTCTCGTGAAGGGGAAGGGCAGCTTTCACGAGGGTTCCGTCACGTTGAACAGTCGGGAGACTCTTCTTGAGGAGGGCTGATCGTATACGCAGAGTTGCCGAGATGACAAAAGGTTTGGAATCACTCTAAAGAAACACGTGGCGTGGCCTATTAGCTCGAACGTTTCGTCTCGTGACTCGTTCTTTTGCGGTCGGCTACTGTACCGCCGTCTCAGTCGCTGTGGAGTGATTATGAGATGCTATAAAGTCGCTAGATCGTGGGAAAGTAGCGCCATTGCTTCCCCTGCCTGCTAGCCGGACACAAACAGATACTCACACACAGACGACCGAAGCCTCGCAAGGTGATTGACTGATCAGTTTCTGTTGCCAAGGCAATCACCATTTTGGTCTTTTCAGACCTTCGAAGCTTCGCAATGGTTGTTCTGAACCAGTCGCACCAAGATTGCAATTTAGCGCTTATTTCTTTATTTATTTATTTACAATTACCTTCGAGGCTCTGAGGGGCGTTACGGAGGGGCGTGGTCGGTTAGTACAATTCTAGACTTATGGGTGATGGCGACAATGTCATCGGGAAAGCCATTCCAGCACACAATAGCTTCTGATAGAAGGGAATGTTGATGGTCTTGGGGCGGGCAAGCTTGCTTGAATGGTCAAGTCTTGTTGAGATATAGCTCGGCTGGCTGAGTAGGAAATGTCGTAATGGTTCCGAATAGTAAATTTTATGAAGAAGGCAAAGACGGGAAATTATGCGGCGAACGGAAAGGTCGGGAAGAGTTATTTGACATTTCATTGCAGTGACACTAGAAAAGCGAGACTAATTAGAAAGAATATATCGAGCAGCACGATTTTGAACAGATTCGATCGCGTTAGTTAAAAAAGACTGATGTGGGTGCCAGATAGCGAAAGCGTATACTCGAGCTTAACAAGTGTTAGAAGGGGCAGACTTGAAATTGCGACGAATATAGCCAAGTGAGCGGTTTGCTGATGAAAATGTCTTGTCGACATGAACATTCCAGGATATACTGTAAAACCTTCTAAGTTTGCGAGCCCATTTTCTTTTTTTTTTCGTGAATTTCGCGAATTGAAAAATTTGCTAGATTTAAGGGCACACGAAAATTTCGGTCCTTAATGGTTTCAATGCAGGCGTCTAGAATTCGCGAAACATATCGGTAGCGATGATGACCCCTGTGTCCGATTCGCAAATAAAAGGCGCAAAAATAAAAGGTTTTACAGTGTTAATGGTAACACCAACGTACTTGTACTGTGTACCAGTCTGAATAAATAAAGGCGCGAAAATAAAAGGTTTTACAGTATTAATGGTAACACCAACATACTTGTACTGTGTACCAGTCTGAATGGTAATGTCGTTGTGTGTTATGGAGTTTAAGGGCTGGGAGGAAGAACTGGTGATGCAGAGGTGCATGCATTTGTTAATGTTCAGACACATCTGCCATGTGCGGCACCATTCAGTAATTTTGTTAATGTCGTTCTGGAGCGCAAGATGGTCGTTTTTTTATTTTTTTTTATTAGTCTATAAACAACGCAGTCATCAGCGAAAAGACGAACAAAGGACGAGAGGTAAAGAGGGAGATCATTAATGTCGATTAAATAGTGTAAAGACCCCGGTGGAACATGGGAGGAAACGGGAGAGAAACAGGAGAATGCTCTGTTAGCGAGAACAAACTGAGAACAATGACTAAGGAATGATTCAATCCACTTAAGAACATGAACAACTACATAAGAACAAAAACATTCTACGTAAGAACCTAAGAACATTGTACTGAAGGCGTTCCTCGCCAGTATAAGCGTCTTTGGCACAGTGTATCCGGTCAACTTATCAATTATGCTTTTTTCGCGCATATCTCTTATAATGATAGAGTATTCGCGTATTTCAAGGCAGGAAAATTATTTTTCAATGCAGCCAAGCACCGACGCCCCCTGTCGTGGTGGAGCGAAGATGTGCGCTTCTTTCCCCGGTATTGCGGTTAGCAAAATCTCGGTAGAAGCGTCTTTATAAAGCAAGCTGTCACCGGGAATTTGAATCGGCTCACCAAGAATGAAAAGGTCAAAAGAGAAACTGCTCATTCAGCCAGCCATGACGGCGCCCATCTTGGCGCTACTTTACCCGGATCAAGTGAATTTAGGCACTAACTATATACAGTGTTTCAAGATTTCTTTTTTTTTTTTTTAACCTCGCGCAGGTGTGGAGAACTCTCTGTACGCCATGGACGGCGTCGGCCTGCGCCTGCCCGCCCCCGGGAGACACTCGTCGAACCGGAACCACGCCAGGACCACGGCCAAGTTCTACGGACACGCCGTCGTGCCGAGAACGTCCTGGGCCGAGAAGTTCCATCCGGGTGAGAAGACCAACTGGCCGCCTATAGAAGCTGGCAACTCAGAAAGTTGCCTTTCGGTGTGACCGCGACGCCGCCATTTGTTCCCCAAAAAACTGCACCGTCATGCGAGTCGGCGTCACAAGGAGCGTCGCTATACTTCCCCCTAAGGGTGGGCATTATATACCTTTGCTACTCTCGCTATAATCCCCGGATATACGGGGGCGCTGCCCATTATGTCAATTCACGATCCTTGCTTCGTGATTGGTTCTTCTACTTCCTAGTCCGCGAATGCAGCCAACCTGATTGGCTGAGGAGACATGGTGAGATGTTCGGAAAGTATTCGCCACAGCTTGCGTTTTCTTTTAAACTCTCGGGGACTTGCGGTAACGCAAGTCCCCGAGAGTTTAAACTTTTAACTTCTTTTAAACTCTCCGCATACAAATCTCTCCACTAACGCTATGCTATACGTGGTAATGCTATGCTGTATACACACGGCGACGCTACGCCAAAAACGTTCCAAAGCTACAAAACGCACAGATTGCGCTTTGGCCTCAATGCGCCTTTCGGACGTCGTCGTTTCAGGGACGTGCTCCGCGAATCGCAGTGACGATAGGCTCTTTTTCAAAAGTTCATCAAGCAACATTAATGATCGCCATTGCTTGGGCTCCAGGCACGGGATTGAATCTGAGTACGCAGCACTCGTACTCAATACAAAGATTTTTTTTTTTTAGCAAGCGGGTGTACCAGGTTGATGGATAAAGAACGCGAAGAGCATGCGTTCATTTAGTCGAGAAGCAATGAGCTGGCGGAGTGGCACCTCAAAAGAGTTTTAATGGCGCGCCAAAAGCCTGAGCGAATCGTGCTCATTGCGTAGTAACACTTGAAGTAGTCTTGTTAACTTTAAATCAAAAATAGGTTAATGTATCGCTAAGGAATGAGCTGGTTGATATTATAGGGAAATAAAATTAATCGACATATTTTACAAAGCAGGACGAGTCAAGAAGAAAACAAAAATTGACAAAAACGAGAGAAAGACAGTCTTATTGACTATTTTCAAGATCATAATAGTTTTACCATTAGTATCGTTTCGGTGGCGGGGAAGGCTCATTGTCCCTCCTGCGTACATGAAATTTTTCAGAACTATTTGTATTCCGAGCTTCGACGTCCGATGGGGTCTCTCTATTCTCCGCTGTAATTAGCTGTCTTCGTGTTCTGCAAAAGAAAAAAAAATGAACTCACAAACTCTTTTTTTGTTGTTTTCTAGAACGTGTGCTTTTTATTTTTTTTATTTTTTTTTTTTTTGCTTTCGGCATAATGCTGCGAGGAAGTTAGTAACAGTATAGTTTGCGAGAAGCGGGATATTCTCACTGCAGTTTTTGGGATAAACATGAGCCTCACAGATCTCACAGATCTCCACGGAGCAGAAAACTGCACAACAGCGTGCGGCTAGCTCAGCAGAATGATTTTTGTTTGTACGAGAACTCGATCACCGAAGGCACTTTTTAAAAGACCGGAAGTCGCACCCGTAGTGCCTGTGTCCGACCTGCAGGTGTTTGTCAGATGGAATATAGGGGTTGACTCGTCGACTGTTGATCGAGTATACGACCCACGACGGCAGCCACACAGGTCTTCCAAAGCCTACGACTTGCCCAGATAGAGCTTCTAGTCGCTGCACTAAGGTGACACCAAGTTCCGTCTGGAAGACGAATGGGAGCCTATTTTCCCCTCGAGTCACATTGAGGGCCAATCAATGCCTTATCGATTATATGCACCCCCCAAGCAGGCGCTCACACGCGCGCACGCAATTGCCATGATGCAACTGTGGCAGTCTAATCGGCACCAATGTGTAACCCTCCATTCGAACATCGGAATAAACCACAACAACAGCAGCAACAAACAACGCACACACGCGCGCTCACTCACACACACTAGACACACAAACTGCATCTTACGTCGAAACGAAAGGACCCTTAAAAAGAATGTCGACAGAGCCGCCGGCACGTGACTTTTTTGCGTTCAGGAAGAAACGTGCCCGGCGGCGGGGTCACTTGTGCCGTGGCCTTCGAATCGAAGTTTCGCGGGCGCCAACATCCTTGCCACCCGGTGGTCGTTGCGAACATCTCTCCATCGTCTCGCTTCTTGTGGCGGACAGGATATGTTCCGCTCACTCTGCCTGCGTGAGAAGGGACATAAACGACGAGCAAATATAGGCCGTATTCTAGATTTTTCTCGCCACCCTCTCGCTTCGCCAACTGTCTCCGACATTGCGAGTCGACAGGCTATCGTTTGCTTGTTCGCGCGATCGTTTCTGCGGCGGAATCCGGTCTTCCTCTTTTGTAGGACACGTAATCGGCGATTGAGGAGCCTTGTCTTCGCGCCGTGAGGTTGCAGTTAATGGATGGTGGTGGACGGAGGTCCTGCCGGGGGCCCCTCTTGGAAGCCTTTGGCACACTTGGAGGGCTTCTGGCTGGCGCGGTGTTGTAGACACACGAAGCGTTTGGTGTTCGTTCGAGTTGAACTTATTTTGCTTAGTAGCCCGGGTGAGCTCCTGTAGCGTGTACAATGCATCATGCCGTAAGAACTGTGCCACTGTGCCATTGGATAACTGGAGATAACGTTCGTTCGATGGTTATATATCACTGACAGCTTCAGAAATGCGCGGCGTTGTTTATTAGGTTTACGCTTATGGCTTCAAGACCCGGTCCTCGGCTTTCTTGTCGTGCATTTCAGAGGTCGAGTCAATCGGTTCAACCAGCACGATGCATAAGCTTAACTTTATGTTTATTTTTTTTTTAACGTTCACCCGGTCGTTTTAATGCGGCTTTCGTCCCCATTTCAATACGTAGGCGCATATTATCACGTTCGAAATTTCGAAACCACTTGTCTTCGGGAAATATTAGAATGATCGGAGATGGACTAAAACGGATTCAAACACCATGTTCACGTTGTGGTTGGAGTGCTTGCTAGCTGAATTTTTTGTGGTGTGCCTCACAATGGGGCAACAGAAAGGACATCGTGATCTTTTTTGTAAACTTGCAGTTGTGCCAGTGTCGTCTTTAGCATTGGTTTCTTTATAGGACGACTTTGGGCGGCCCTTATCTGATGGGATAAAAAAATAATAAAATGATAGTGCCCATCCTACGTGCTGGCATTTTTATTAGAACAGAAGAGCAAGCGCATTGTCGTCTTCATTGCTCAATTGACTCGGGTGTTAATCGAGCTAAAATGTCTCGAAAAAGGAATTTCTTTACACGAAAGTTCTTGCTTTCCTTAGATTTTTATAGCAGCAGTTTGAGAAAACGCTCGTCTTTTAGTGGTGATATTTTCTGAGTCCCGAGCTCATAGCTTTATCTTTGGCAGTGGCTTCAGCAGAGCGAGAATTCGTAATGGTGCGCGAAGAAACTCGGGCTTGCAGCCTTGTAGCGGAATTGTCGTACAAGTAATTAGCACGAGAAAAGCTTGGAAAAAACATTAAAACGAAGTACAGGGCAAAAAAAAAAATTAAAAATATTCATCAAGTATTGGAATATGTTATAAGTGCAGAGCTTCATTTCGAGCGGAAATATACACGCTGCACGAGATCCTTATGGCGCGTGCCATTTTTAGCAATCGAGACACGGAAACGGGCCCCGCAGCCGCTTTGCCTGCGGGCCGCGGCCGCAGTGATTTGCGGGCCGCACATGGCCCGCGGGCCGTGTGTTTGAGACCTATGCTCTATGTGATGCGTGCGGCCGATTGACGACTTAATGTGTTGTGCGCAATATAAAGTGTAACGACGCTAAGCGCGCGTGTAATGCAAATATTTCGTGGCCTTTAAATTAGGCAAATATTAACGCCACCTATAGCAATTCATAGTTGTTTACTTCTTTTTTTTTATCAATTCGATGGTTCCCACTGGGCTTTGTGTATGAGGCTAGCTTTCCGTTACTAACTTCCCCGGTTAGTAACTGTCATCAACAATCCCATTACTAACTGCAGTTGCTAACGACTTAGTAATATATGTAACAAAACTAACCTCCCTGCGTGTTTCTTTTTTTTTTTTTTTTTTTGCGCATGGTTTAGTTTAGCAAGCTCGCAAAAACGACGAGCGCCGATGCATTTTTTTTTTCTCAATTCGGATCGTTAGCTGTGCTCAGATTTGGCGTGGAAAAGCGGAGATTCGTCCTAAGGTGCACTCCCGTTCCGGTAAGTATCTAAATAATCGGTTCGATAACATGAGTGTGCCCCGTGCCCACAGCGGCGGCGTGCCGGCCTCGGCAGCTGTCCCTGTGCGACGACGTGCTGCCGTACAACTCGACGCTGCTGCCCAACCTGGTCGGGGACCGGGACCGCATCTCGCTCAACCGGACGCTGCTCTTCTTCGCGCTCATGCTCAAGACCGAGTGCAACCCGAGGCTCAAGCAGCTGCTCTGCTCGCTCCTCGAGCCGCCGTGCCGCGCGGGCAGGCCGCTCCTGCCCTGCCGGAAGTTCTGCAAGGGTGAGTGCGACGATACGGCGTCAGTGGCGCTGATCGACGCTATACCTAGACTAATAAAAGCTCGCTCGTTTCTTTATGTATGGGCACCGAAAGCGTCTGGAATTGAGCCTTCTTTTTCGGAACTCCACCGAGCAGCGTTGGCGGTCGCCATTTCCCGGGGACGAACCGTGTGATTGGTTCCGTGCTCACGCCGAGTGTTGACGTAGCCCTCGCGTCCTGCTCGGAGTGTATACGCTCCCAAACAATGGCGGACTCGGCTGATTGGCGCAGCGGGTACCAGATGGCGCTTCTTTTTTGAAAAGGGCATAATAACGCGAGGCGTGGTGACTCTCGTGCGTCTCATTGTCACTCCGCAGCCAATCAGATTGTAGCATTCTTCGATAAGAAAGTCGAAGAGCTAATCACGAAGCGAGCAGTATGAGCGCATAGAAACCGCGCCCGGCATTTGTTAAGCTGTCAGTGGCGACAGTTCATTCCAATAACTGCCTTTCGCACACTGCCAGCTTTGTCTATACTGGCGCGTTTTGCTCATGCGCAAAGAGTTGTTCGGCTAGAGAGATACAGCTTTCTAGACAAATATTACCGAGATGAAAAGTGCTGCAGTCATATTTCCGAGCCAAATGCCGAGCGTCCTTCGACGCGTTGATTGGGCACGAGACACAACTGAGCACCGACAGAACGCTCGCGTCCAATCAGCGTATTCGCTCGATCTGTACTGCGACGACGGCAAAATTCGAGCGCACGGGCTTCGATTCTTCTAGGTAGTGCTGGCTGTGGACACGTGTGCGGTGAGTTACTCCACGTTAGCTCGCAACGCGTTCTACAAAAAATGGCAGCGCGCAGAAAGCAATTATTGAAGTTTCAACGCCGGGCATCGACACACTGATCGAACAAAAAGGCCCAACCGAACACTGACGCGCCGCACTCGTAAGAGTCATTTCCAGTCTGTCAACCTTGGACGTAATGTGATGACGTTAAAATCAGAGTGCGTGGGCCTTCCCATAAGTATAGGCGCGGTGCTGCGCGTACACGTAGCTTCTTCCGTTCAGATCCGTACTTGTTCGCAAAAAAAAAAAAAAATAAATAAATAAATAAACGCGTTGTGGCACTTTGAAAACTGGTTCGATATACACTTGGCTTGTCCGAGGACCCGCTGCCAATCCATCGTATACAAAAGACAGTCTTCAGCACACTGTCTGGAGCGGGCTTCCATTTTACGACAGTCCCGTCGCATTTGGCATGCAAACACTGTCTGCGGACATGAACGTGAAGAAAACATGCTTTCATCGTGCTTGAGGTAATTCTGTCATCGTGTCTACAGTTAACTTGTCTTTTGAACGATGTGCGAGTGGTGTCGCTGCGGTTTTAGCCAAGTACCCTCTGCCACTTTCCAACGCGTTCCTTTTCGTGTGGGACTGCTCTCCTTTCCCGTAGCATATTCTTCGTCGAATACGCTTCTCAGCAATTTGCAATTTCACGGCGCCGCCTGCCCGCCCATCACGAATCTTCAAACGCTGTTATGCGCCCTCCTTGTGCCAAATGAATGACGCCGTTAAAATTTCCCGTTCACCTCCCAACGGCGAAAACAGATGACAAGCGCTGAGAAGCGAGATCCTCGATCGAGAGTGGCACGCGCCGCCGCTCTGACTGTGTATATTTCGAACCAGTTTTCGACGACCCGCCTCGTCTTATACGGGCTGGGTCAGCTGTCGCCGAGAGAAAAGATATGTACGAGGAAAGGTGCCGCGCGCTCGAGGGTTACGTGGGCGCCGGTGAAGCTCCGTGAGGGCAAGGTCACGACGCCGCTGTCTGGCTTTGGGAGCCGGTAACGGATATTAGTGCGCTCTTTCGACTGCGGCTTCCAGCGGTCCACGATGGGGCAGTAATCGATACGCTGTCGTCGGCCCCAATTCCTCGGAGAGCGAGCTAAAACAAAAAGAGAAAAATAGAAATAGGATTAAGTCGCCCCTTGGCCACGCAAGCTCCGTTAGAGAGACTCCGCATCTTTCTTTCTTTTTTTTCTTTTTTTTTGCATTTCCTCACCCCGTAACCCACTATCGTACATAGAGTATATTCAGGAGCTTTTGAGACACGTTCTTTAACCTGGACAGGATTTAGCGAGAGTATAAATTGCCAGTATATCTCCCGACCGCGATATCTTGTTAATCGTGTAAACTCAGGGAGCGAAGTCGGCGGCGGCAAATGTCAATAAGCGGCTTTTTTTTTTAATTTTGAAAGGGTGCGGAGATTGTGGTTGATACAGGGATGTATTGGAGGGATAACAGATACGGGGCATCCAGTGAGCTTTTTTCGGGGGCTCTCAGTTCTGGAATCGATGAGCTTAATTTAACAGGTCCGGCCGTGACCTATATTTTAAGTTTCAAGTTACGTAGGCGATTTCATGCCTAATGTTAATTTAGATTCACGCATCATTCCAATTGTCCATGGACAGTACGGCGGCACCCATAAAAGTGCTAAATATGAAAACGAAGATTAATTTTACGCGTTTAGGTTAAATTTATTGTGAGTAACGTGTCAGCTTTGTTTGGATAGGATGTATTGATATATACTAAAATATTTATCCCGAAGTCGGTTGTCCTGGGGGGGGACATGGCTGTGACATTAAGGTATCGCCGCCTCTAAAGCATAGGTTGTACTTTAGATTCGACAGTTATTATACATTTATGTGCTTGACGCGCCTTAGCACCGAACTCCGCCAAAGTGCTCATTCTACTCAATCGTACTACATTTCACCGAGATGTGAAGAATTATCGCCAGCATTGCGCCAAAACTTACCTTCACTTTTTTTTTTTTTTTTCCACTGAAGTTACACCACCGAACTATATAAAAGTAAGCGACCTTAAAAAAAAAAAAAAAAATTGCTTTTCCACTTTGAATAACACACCATTTGCCTCAGTCATCGTATCGAAAACTGACAGTACTGTGGGAAGTTCCACCATATTCCTCATTGTTTCACGATCTGTTCGGGTGGGCGATCTAGCTCCGTTGAGTGCGCTTCTCCTTGCGCCCTGCTGCAGTGCGGAGAAGTGTCATCCGTGGGCTTTAAATATTCTGAATTTGGGTATTCCGCTCCGCCGCAGCGCAGCCACGTGCCTACAAAAAAAAAAAAAAAAAAATCCTTTTGAATGGGATGGCGCACGCGCGCTCGTCGGGTTTTGGGGAAAAAAGGTTTGACATGCGCTGATGTGTAAACGCTACTCTGCAGTAAAATTGTAAACTTTTCAAAATAAAACAGCATCTATATCTTAGGCTACGTATATCTTAGGTTAAGGTATTCCGGTTAGTTGCGTGCTAGGTACTTGAGTATAGCCCATATTCTTTCTAAATAGAATTAGGTGTATAGCTGGGCGGCACAGTACGATTATTATTATTATTATCATCTAAGCTCCCTCGTTTAGTGATTATCCCTATGAAATAATAATTGAGGTTGTGTGGATATTCCTACAGCGTGTAGTTGGTCAGCCATTTCAAAGTTGCGACGAGTCTCCCAGCAATTTAGCCAATGCAGTATACAACCGCTAGCCTGGGGTCTTTAACGTGCACCACGCAGTAGTGATACACGACCGCACGCCGGTACGATGCTCATCCAGATCGAAACGGGCAGGGGTGGGGCTCGAACCCAGGATCCCTGGGTTCTGCAACGCGAACTTTCGCTCCACGTGCTCCGAGTTGGTGTGCGCTAGCCCACTCGGCCAGCGCACACCTATTTTGGCCTTCAATTCATCGAGGGTGCGCTACATAAAATTAAAATAAAACCTAAATAGGATTTACTGCAGATTCACACTGTTCCAGATGGGTATGTTGTGAAAACTTGCCTTTTGATACGACCGCAATTCGCCGGAACATCTGTGCTTCGTGCAATGCGCGGCATACGAAACACGAATGAGCCGTGATGAAACTTATAGTCAAACGCCGGTATGTGAGTGGGTTCGATCAAGAAGGAATATTTATCGCCCACATCCAGACTCTGCATTATCATTCAATTCTCTAATTTTTTGTTTCTAAAAAATACTTCTCCATTCGACTTTTTTTATGATGGTAAGTTTTTACGATGTTTCCGCAATATGAACTGCACATCATCGAGTACGTTCTGAGCACGCGCGAACAGCACGCTCAGATAGGGCGTCCAGTGAATCTAAGAAACTATGGGACTGATCCCATACTTCTGCGGCCCGGTATGGGTCGATGCCAGTGACCCGCAGATGGGTCACTGGCATCGCATGTGCCCAATTTCCTACGCTTATATACGGTTCGTAATCAGGTATATGCCAGTGCACCTCGCCGCCTCTCCGTGTGACGCAAACAGCGACGATGTTGGCAGTGGCGGCACTAGTGTCAGCGGCACCCGAGGCGGTGGCCCGCGGCCACACCTCCTCCTCCTCCTCCTTTCCTCCTCTCATCCCTCCGCCCCGCCGTCTCGTGGCCCTCCGCGACAACCCCCCCCCCCCCCCCTCCCCGTCTTGTGGCCCTCCGCAACACCCCCTCCCCCTCGTCTCCCGCCGCGACACCCCCCTCCCTCCGTGACACACCCGGAGCGTTGCACCCGAGGCAGTTCGCTCCCCCCCCCCCCCCCCCCTCCCTCCCTTGTGTAGCCACTGGATGTTGGTCCCCTGTCGGTCCTGTCTTTACGCAGTGGCCACGGAGAACTGCCAGAAGCTGATCCCGGCGACGCTGGCGCTGTCGCGGGTCTTTGACTGCCGACGGTACCCGGACTCCGACAGCCCGAGCGTCTGTCTCAACCTGGCCAGGAGCGCCTGTACGATGAGTTTGGGAAACCTGCGGGCTGTTGACATTCGCGATACACGCACTTATGCCCGTGCCTTTGTCAGCACTGCAGATGCTTGTGAGATGGATACTTCATTTCACAAGCATCTGCAGTGCTGACAAAGGCACGGGCATGAGTGCGTGGCTTTGGAAAGTGCCTTTTAAGACCTGTTCACACATGCAGCGGAGCGCTACAAGCATAGCACTGACTTCGCGCTAAGCGCGTGCTGACGGGAGCGTTCACCAGCTTTATATTGCACCGTCAAAACTGTTGCTCATGGCAGACGATAAGTAGCTAACGGCACGTGAGCAGCGCTACATCAGCGCTTCGCTGCATGTGAGAGCCGCTCTTTATGCACGAGTCCTTGTACACCCAAAAGCATTCTGCTGACCTAGACTCACGCGCCTGTGCCTTTGTCTTTATCGCGGACATTTGTGACATGGAGTAGTAGACGTGTTTTAAGCACGCACCAGATGACAGTCGCCATTGCTGACCTTGTATTACCGAAATGCCGAGCCACTGAAACGAGCGTTGACGAGACTCCACAAATGCCAATGCTGCGCAGAACGGTACAATATATACTAAAATAAAAAAAAAAAAGTCGTCAGCTATGGTAATGATGAAGTTAAGTAAAACTGAGGTTATGGCGGTGCCCACGCAAAGCTGCTTAAAAGCGTCTATAAAAATGTCTTCGTGTGCGCAATTTGTCGCCCCTGAGAGTCAGTCACTGCTGTCTATGCTCGCATAAAGTCCGGGAGTGAAGGCCGCACCGCGATGCACGCCGACCACCGATCGTTGGACTTCTCTTAATCAGGTCAGCCAATACGTGGCTCGCGTGTGACGTCATCAAATCATGCTGGTGGTCATTCCTGGCTCTTCTTGCCAAGAGAATAGAACTAATGCAGTGGTGCAAATCCATGCTGCAGAAGACACGCCAACACAAGCCATCGAGGTGGCCTTGTTCACCTCAATGGCTTGTGTTGGCGTGACAGCAACGGCCGTTGAGGTGGCCTTCTTCAGCAACCAGGCCACCTCAACGGCCGTTTGCTGTGACGTCAACACAAGCCATGTAGGAGAAGGGCGGTTGGTATGATGCACCAATGGTCATACGGTTCAAGCGTATCAAGGGAGCGCGGATTTGTGTTTCCATAGTTCTGCCTCGTTACTAAGCGACTCGTTTCAAATTATCTCATTTGTTGTTGTTGTTTTTACTTCTAGTTGTTGTTTCACAGGATCAAACAATTACACTTTGTTTTGCCTCATCTCCAGGGAACGGGCGCCGTATAGTGTCGCCTCATCGCAACGGTGGCCCAAATATAGCTCGCAAAAAAACTCGGCGAGACAAACACGGGAGACGCGTAAGGCGTTTTGCCATTGTTCCTCGATAATGAGCCTTCAATTATAAGCGACGCCGTAACTCGTAGTAACACTAATACCGTTAGGCGAACAACTACCTACCGTGCGCGAGCAGCACAATACAACTGTTTCTTGTTTTGTTTTGTTTTTAGCTGAAACATTTTGTAGCGAACAAAAACAATGAGGCTTAACATTATTACTCGGACACCAGCAGTGCAGCAGGAACAAAATAAAAGAAAAGCAAACAAGCACAAGACGAGCTCTATTCAAAAATAAGAAATTGAAACAACAACAAACTATTTACTTGTTTCGTTTTCTCCCTTTTTTTTAACAAAAAAAAAAAAAAAAAGGGGGGGGGCATTGCCCCGCAAATTAAAGAGGACAACTTTGGCTTTCCCGGCTACCGTAAACGAGTACCGCCGTAAAGAGGCTAATTGCGCGGACCGCCGTTTCGGTGTCGACCTCCATCAGGCCTTGACCCCCGCAAACCTTCCCCCGCGCACCCCGCCGCGGGATTGAGAGCGAGAGCCTTTGAGGACAGACGTCTCTTGTTCGCGTCTTGTTTATTTCACGCGTCTTCTGTTTAGTATACATGAACTCACAAACGCGGCCATGAAAGGGATGGCTATTTCGTTAGGAGAACGAAGCCACCGAGCTCGGTCAAAGGTCATTCTGATTCTGAACCGCTGACTCGGGCTCCCACGCCATGGAAAAGACACGCGCGCTGTTCGCGGGATGCATGATGGCTGAAGAAATCTGCGGACATGACGTTCCAAGCATCTTCGGAACATGTTTTAAGCTTAGAGTTATTATAATGTACGCTAGAGGTTCAAATGGAGCAACTGTGCTGTTGCAAATGGAAGCAGACAGCAACCACTCGGAAACGAACTTCCGGTGAAGTGTTTATTTTTATGGGAAAAGAACGAGTGCATTTTTCTCTCTGCGCCCGATTATAAGAGCAAGTATCACGAATAGTTTGTACGTACTAGGTAGATTTGAACAATTCTCAGTCACGCAGATGAAATAATTGGCCAGTTACGGCGTTTTTCTTTCCAATTCGTGGCATTAAAACGATGATAAAACGGCTTCGTACGTGTGTTTATGTGCACTGTCGGACACTGTTAGCGCGAACACGGCGTCGGCGCTTTCCATTGCATGGGGGGATATACGTGCCAAACGAAGGAAGAACGTGTGGAAGATCAAGAGAGACAGCAAAAACTACGCAGTAACACTGGATCAGTAACTCTCTATGTGTGCAGGCGGTCGAAACAAATTGAAAGCCACATAATATAGTCCGACATGCAATATTAAGTCCTGCTTTGTTCTTTCTGCTCTTGAATATGTACGAAGATGCTCGTTCTGCGCTCAAAACATCACCCGCACGCTCGAAATTTCTGAAAGTACGAAAAAGCCAGGGAACAGGTGCCCGATAAAGGCTGCCCAACATAGGCAATAATAATTTAAAAAAAAGAAACACCTTTAATAGCCCCATACTTTATTCGTTATGTTGTCAATGTTTTAACTGCTCGTAAAGATACACGACGGGGTCATTATCATATATGTGACAGGAGTTGCATATTAGCCGTACATAAGCATTACCGGAATGCTGGCGAACTTTGAAAACACTCTAGGTTCCTTTAGGTTGTTATTTTGCTTAGAATCGTCGCTCCCTTTTACACACCTGCTATGGAACAGGGGTTTGGGCCTGAAATATCGCGAAGTTTAACATCGCTCACCGGTAAAGAAAAATGCGCTAACTAAAGCAATTCTACTTTTACCATGTTAACAAAGGTACATACTATTCGGTACAAGCCAAGTAACAAAAGTTATTTATGTAATTTTCCGGCAAAGAGACAAAATGCGCGCGCGTTTTCTCACAGGAATGCGCAGGACTCGGGAGTATACCGCAAAAGTAGACTTTAGTTGCTGGCTTCAGTTTGCGTCACGGAAATAGCGCGCCAGTTGAACCTCTGGCGTACATTATAAGAACTACATGGTTTGAAGCTTCATACATGTGTATGCTTAGAACATGTCTGCATGCAGGCAGTCTTTCGTACGACCAACGTATACAACAGGACCGGCAAACCAAAAAGAAGTATACACGTTGCCTGCAGACTGTCTTTTCTATGATATATATATATATATATATATATATATATATCGTTATTATTTCGGGATGACGTTATCGAGCTCGGCCTACGTCAAGATACGAGTGTGACGGTAACATTAGCGAATGAATGATCCAATATTTACTTGTGAGTTATTAAAATATTAGTTTGAGGTTTTACGTTCTAATCAGACATTCCTAAAATTTGTATTATTGCCACGAAGGAACGCGGAGAGCGAGTCGCCTGCTTCTTGCACGGGGGTAATTGCGGTGACGCCACAACGAGGCGGAACTCTGATTGCCTTGGACTGGAAGGATAGTGGGGGGTGGACCTCAATTCTAGGTGCCTTGAGGTCTACCCACTATTTTTTTTTTTTATCAGCCAATAAGAGCATGGCGTTCTGATATCATCGCAACCCCTGTGCAACAAGCAGACGAACTTGCACTCCGCATAGAGATTCAGCAATGAATCTCTACATCTTCGTCGCCTAAAGTCACGCACAATTGCCAGCGGTGGACAACCTGCCGGAGGCCATTGTTATAGAACTCCTTGTTTTGATTGTTGAGGAATCGCTCCACTTCAGTAATCACTTGGTCGCCGTCCTTGAAATGCTTTCGAGCTTGTTTGGCCACACTCGAAGCGTCTGCGACATTTAATCACGATGTCATAAACTGGGGCGTTGTCCCCGAACGCCGCCACCAGCTCGCAACGAATCTCCTTGGCACTGCTTCCCTTCAAATGGAGAAAACGGATCACTGCACATACTTCCGCTGTCCCGACGGGTTGTGCCATTTCTGTTTAGACGCCCTAGCGGCGTTCCGCGAAACTATGCCGCGCGATGTTTATACCCCGCCGAAACTAGAGGGACGCACGCTCGTGTTGATGCGTTTTGTTCCTCTTTCATCAATTTTTGGTGCTGATGATACAGTAATTATAAATCGTAGATAAAAGAGAAAGTTTCGTTTCGCGCTATTCACTGGCGAATTTAATATTTGGCTCATCAACCAGTCAAAGGTGCGGGAGCTACATGGGAAGACCGAGACTTCGCCGCCTGCTCTTGGTCAGCTCAGTCCAGCTGACCAATCGGAGCAGCCGGCGATGTCCTTGCTCCTTGGCCCCGCCACCTAACTTAACCCCCCCCCCCCCCCCCCAAAAAAAAAAAAAAAAAAAAAAAAAAAAAAAAAGCACACAAGAAATTGACGTTTACGGATCCGCCTTTGCCGCGATACTCAACCAGCGTTAAAATCAAACTTTGAAATTCACTTCAGCATTCCCTTTTAATAGTGGCTTTTAACAGCATTACCTTTCAAATACATTTTGAAGGAATCTCACAAAGAGAAAGAACAATTCTAGGATTCTAAATCCGGAGGCGACTCTTTGCAAGTTCCGCTTTCCGCGAGAGGCCGAGCGCAGCGACCGATTCCGCCTCCGGGCCTCTCTCGCCTTGCAGCGTGCCTTCGGCAGGAGCACCAGTGCCCGGACCTCACCTGCATCCCGCGCCAGTGGAGGTGCGACGGGGTCAGGGACTGCCCCCTGGCGGCGGACGAGGCGAACTGTACGGGTGAGCCAGGCTCGTTGCTGTATCACATCTCCCGCCATTGATGACGTCACTTTCGGGCTGCTCAAAACGCATATCGATGAACTTTATTTCATTCAAACGCCCGAGAGTGGGGGGAGCAACTTGAAGCAACTTTTGGTTTCTGTCGTCCTCTTCCTCTTTCTTCTACTTTGGTTGCTTCAACTTTCTCCGCCCGGTTGTTTTAAGAACATCGTAAACTCACACCAGCTCGCCTGCGCCATCATTTTACTATATTGTTTATTTTGTGTCTGCCTGCATACCCTGTGCATGTGCGCGCGCGTATGTGCGTGCGGGTATGTATTTGTGCGCTCTGCCTTCCACGGTTGCGATTCGAGGATAACATGTACTTCTTCTTTTAAGTTTGCGAACACAAGATGAAAGAAAATAATAATAATAAAAAATAAAATCAGCCGGCGCGATAAATTGCAACAAAGTAGTGGCAGGCTTCTCGGCACAACACACGAGCTACGATACCGAAGGCAAAGCCCAACTCCGCTGCGCCGGAGACGCGCTTTAGGGCCGCTTGCTAGCTCTCTCCTCTCTTTTCTCTTTCTTTCTCTGTCGCTTGCAATCTCCTCCTTTTTCTTCCAGCGTAGAAGAGAGGGAGAAGAAGGGGGAGAAGGCACCTTAGGGCAGGGACCGGGGTGGGGAGAGGCGGGAGAGGTAGAGAGAGAGAAAAAGAGACATAGAGAGAGAGAAGAAAGAAAGAGAGAGAGAGAATTAGGGGGGGCACGTCCTCGAACCCTTCAATAGACCATGATTGGTTGAGAACGGAGGGAAACAAAAACACGTAAGCGCAGTTTACAGGTAAACCACGATAAAAACAAAAACCAAGCAAAAAAAAAAAAGTGCACGGACGCTGAAAATTTTCAGCAGCGATTGGTGAGCGCCCTTTGTTGCCAAATGCCCCGAAGCGATCCGGAGCGACGTCCACTTCCCTTTATTTAAGTAAAAATACGAGTGAGGCTTAAAGGTATGGTAAACCGAAATTTGGATTTCAAAAAAAAAAAAAAAGCAATGTAGGAGATGTAGGCGGGACGCTACAATCCCTACAACAGTACTCGTAGGGCGATATCTCGAATGGACGGCCGTATTTTTGGAAAAAGAGGTCGAGATTGAACCAGGCCGACCAGGCGCGTGACGTCAAGATATCTCCCTCTTCGCTTCACCCCCTCAAGGCGGCGAGGCGGTGAAGACGCGAGGCCGTTCCCTCTCCTTCTCGGAGAAACAAGACGTCAACATATCTGTCAAATGCACCTTTTTTTTTAGAAAAATACGGTCATCCGCTCGAGATATCACTGTGTGAGTGATATTTTGGTATTTGTAGCATCCCGTTGTACGCTTTTGCCGCCGTGTTTTGTGGAATCCAGATTTCGGTTTAGCATCTCTTTAAAAAAAGACATAAAAAGAAAAAAAAATGTTTTTCTTTAAAGTCTAATTGGGACACGCGTGTCAAAGAAATAAATTTTACATGAAAAAAGATTTTTAGAGCAATATTGATGGCGAGAGATTTATTTGAAATTCTGCGCGCAAAATCCATGACGTCACGGAATGGTCATTCGTTCAACGACTTTCCACCTCGACGTGAAGGCGAAGCAGATCCATCTCTCCTCCACGCGCCCGAAATCCCGAGAGAAAAGTAGAAAGGAGGTGACTACCGACTAAATCGCGTCTCGCGCCGTCAATATTCCTCTAAACCCCCCCCCCCCCCTTTTTTTTTTTTCGCGTAAACTTTTTTTGGCCGCACTGTCTTATCGGCACTTTCGTACGTGTACAGTGCGTGGTCGCACAGTCTCTCCGGCCACTGCTGCGCAGGTTTGATCGTGTTACGTCAGTTCAGTTGCGAGTGCGATGCGAGAAACAATAGCAATCCCACTTGTAAGTTGCACAAAAAAAAAAAAAAAAAGTAACACGCAATAATCCGTTCTCTTTTTTTTTTTTTTTTTTTTTATCTAAGGGTGTGTTTGGTGCCGGTACTTTGTACACCGTATGGAGAAAGTATTTTATCGCAATGAAATGTGCTTGGATAGATACAGAAGTTCGAGGAAGACGAAGGCACAAGTGTCAGCCATAAAGAAGGACGCCCGTCCGCGTTTACAACTAATGACAACATTAAGCGTGCACGCGTGAACTGACTCTGACGTATACAGACGAGTGACAATAAATGACGTAACAAATTGTTGTCAAACAAGCCAAGGCTCTGCCTCTCAGGCCCGTAGCCAGGAATTTCTTTGGGGGGGGAGGCACTTAATTTTTTCTGAGTGATGTAATGGCGGCTATAAGACCAATACAAATAATTACCTTATAAGTTGATTCTGCAATATATAGTTCGTAAGCGAGGGTAAAGTAACTACTCTAAGGCCCTTTGACTTCATTCGAAATTCGCCGCTGTTTCCTAAAAATAACTGATGCACCCCCATAAGTTCCATAACCACTGAAGCAATACATATCGGTTAAAAAAAGAAACAAAAAAACACTGTATAAGGGATTGGAGGTACGTCATACAAAATTGTGTTAAAAAAGTACTTCGCTTTGAAAGTACATTGCATTTATAATAGTTTACTTCGTGTACATTATAGCCAGCGGTCTCGCACTACTTTACTTGAACTGCATGACCTCTCATTTACTTTGTACTTTACTTCAAGTACTTATAGGTGCACTCTACCCAGCACCGTATACATATGCACCAACTATACCAGCAATGAACTATCGCAGACAATATGAACTGAAACGGTCCTTCACGCTTGTTCGGTGTACCTGCCAGTTTTTGAGAAAGCTGTGGTCCCAACAAGGAATGGAACGCGATGTTGAAGACTTCGGACTTTTTGAGCGATTCAGATGGAGCTTGTGGAGACGTGTTTAGAAAGACCGGATCGGGTACTTCGGCTCATACTGTCCGCGGAGGCGCTTCACGCTTCTCTTCTCATTGAAGGCTTCGTGGCGATGAAGAGTGCACAGCCATCGTCCCCTGCTGAGGAGGCGCTTCCTTGACGCAGGCAAGGGGGCCTCAACGGTATGCAGCCACGAAGAGTTCCGCTGCGACTGGCGCTGCATCCCCAACACGTGGCGCTGCGACGGCGAGCCGGACTGCCAGGACGCTGCCGACGAGAGGCACTGCCCGCCCAAGCCAGGTGCTTCGACGGCGCTAATCTCGAATGGTTTTTAGTTCATTAAAAAGCGTCAGCCTTTCCACTCTGGTGAAGAAGGAAGACCAGCGAAGCTGTGCTATATGGTGGGAATGAAGTAATGGCCGGCCGCAAGTCGGCAAGCCGGAGAGGAAAGGCTCGAAAGGTTGCCGTCATCTATTAACGACGGCAATCAGACAACCGGCAAGCCGGTTGTCTGGTTGCCGCAGTAGCTTATAGATGGCGGTAGCTGTCCAAAGTTTTGTGTCATCTTTTGTTCGCTGACGGACACGATACTGGGGAAACCAGCCCTTAATAGCTCCGGTGTAAAAATGGTATCTATGCGTATATATATAAAAATACCCGGATTTGCTAACATATTCCCCGTGTTTCTGGTGATTCAGGGCAAGCTTTTAAGTCATAAGTGAATCATTAAATTTCAAATTTCCAGGATGACGTCCAGGAATCGTTTCCAGTCGTTTGAACTTGAACCAATCCCTATAGACTCCCCTCCCTTCCCTTGAATTCCGCATGCAGGGGGGGGGTTTCTCAAACATCTGATACGCTGCCCCCGCCCCCCTCTTCTGGAAACGCCTGCGTCCGCCCCTGCCCCTCAATCAGAAAATGTCAGGCATGAAAAATCCTCGTGGAAGGAACATCCCCATAGAGCAGGGGTGGCCAGACGGACATATTCAAAGATCCATTTTAGGTAAAGAGCCGCAATGACTAAAGAGCGTGGAACTTTTTTACATTTTTTGTCTTCTCAGTTGGTCGCGGCAAACTCCACTCATGAAGCGATTGCTGTGTATCTTTCTTTATCGCCAGCCTCTCGTAAAACAAGAGCCCTGTCTGACGTGTGCATGGTGCTACAAAGCCGACAAGTACAAGCCGGGATGGGGGGATAGATTTATCAGAGCCGCGGACCGTGCGTGGGCCCCCGAAGAGCCGCATGAGGCTGGCGAGCCGCAGTTTGTCCAGTCCTGTCCTAGAGAGTTGCTTCCCCGCCCGTCACCGCGGGGCTGTTCTTGCCGCAGTGTGCGGGTCCGGTCGGTTCCAGTGCCGGGACGGGTCCGGCTGCTTCCCGCAGCGCTGGGTCTGCGACGGCAAGGCCGAGTGCCGCGACGGCAGCGACGAGCAGGACTGCTCCAAGAAACGTGCGTACAGGCTCGGGCCCTCCGCACCCCCGCGTGGCAACCGTACTCCATCTCACAGACATCCACAGTGCCGATGAAGGCTTTGCAAAGTGCCCTCTACATAGAATCCCAGGATGTACTAGTGAAAAGAAGGTGCCACTGGTCGTCTGCAACACACCGTTTCACCTCGCGGTTCACCGCAGGCGCAGAGTATGCTACGAGCTATCAAAGCCAGTCCAACGGCGTGTGTCACGAGACTTTTAAGAGAGGCGAATGAGTGAGCGTGTGCGTTTACAGCTGTGCTATGCGTGTGCACGCTCGTCACTGCCGATTGTGGGAAGAGGAATTAGGGAAAAGGAGGGGACAGAAGGGCGCGTGGTCACGTAGTATGTTCACAGCGCTGGATTGACTGCGATACGGTCTCTGTTGTCCACTGCGGTCCATCGTAAGGTGGTTGGTCGACTCGGGCGGGCCGTGCCTCCGAACGATCGGGAACAAGCGTCGCAGTTCGGCAGGGCACTCGGGCGTTCAAGCTAGAGATGGGGTCCAGTGGTTGTGGCCGCGGACCACCTCGGTGTTTTCAAGATTCTCACAAGGTGGCGCCACCTCTACGAGCAGAGCGTTCTGCTGAGCTAGGTTCACGCACCTGTTGCCTTCGTCTGCACCACATATCCGTGAGATGGGAGTACGCATCGCACATTTGGAAATCCCTACATCTGTATACTGCACCGCAGGGTACTCGGCATGCGGATTCGGTGGGTGGCAAAACAAAAGTGGGGGTGGACACTTGAGAACCGTGTGCATTCTACTGCAACCTTTTCCCCCTCTTCCCCTTCACGAGCAGCCTACCATTATATGTTCGGCTAACCCCGCTGTTGTGCTTCCAAAAAAAAGAAAACACTAATTGGATCATGCTGACAAAGACCGAGAGCACAGACTGTGTTGTGAATGAGTTGGGCACATGCTTTGTGTGTATGTGATGTCACATGACGTCAAAATGTCAAGCGAAGTCATGGGCCTCACATGGCGTCAAGTGATGTCAAGCGAAGTCATGGCCTCACCCAACACTACACATGGAGTAGTGTTTTCTCAGAACATGTCCTGGGAGAGCCATATTGAACATTTAAATAAAAAATTGTCAAGAACTGTGGGTATTATATGTCGGCATCGGTATTTGCTTCCTACATCTTTTAAAATATTATTATACAAATCATTATTTTATTCCCATTTAAATTATTGTTCGTTAGTTTGGGGTACTACCACTGCAACTAATCTTGAGGAGGCGCACCTACTTCAAAAAAGAATGTTGCGAGTAATTGCAAACGTACCTTATCTTTCGCACACGGAAAACCTGTTTAAAAGTTATCATATACTCAGCATTCACAATCTTTATAACAATAGGCTATCCACAAAACTTAGAACAGAATTTTTTTACAACACTACGATCCCTGGTAGAATTGTCTGCTTTGCAGCAACATATCGTACCATACCAAATTCGTAATCCAGATTACTGGCACGTACCAACGTGTCGGCTAAACACTGGAAAGGAAATGTTAGCATACCGAATCCCAAAGCTTCTAAATGTATTGCATTCTAAAGGTGTCTTTATAGATAGATTAAGCCTGGGTGGATTGCGATCTGTCACGCATGATTTTGCATATATAGATTTATGCGATTTTGTTTTCTTAGTTTAAAAGTGTGTTTTGTGTTGATTTGCGAATGTCAACTAATAGGGTGCTCAGTGGCGTTTTCTAGTTTCATGTTTTTTTTGTTTTTTTCTTTCGTATTTATTGTGATTATGCACGATTTTTTTTGTATATTGATATTTCCGGCGCTTCTGCAGAATGTACTGAGACTGAGAACTCGTCAAGCCGCGTAGCGCGGCTTTTTTTCTTGGCTCCACCATTAGGTGTAATGGAAATAAACTGTTATTATTATTATTATCACATGACGTCAAGTGATGTCACAGTCTGTCGTGACGTACGGTTCTTAATGACGATTTTCTTATTCGGCTGATAAAGCATATTCTGCAAAAAAAAAAAAAAAGAACTGCGTTTTTAAAGGGGCAAAGATGAAAGAGCGTGTTGGTGAAAATACAGGAGCCAAAGAAAGAATAAAAACACTTAGGGACAAGGACAGACAGCACAGTTCTTTCATCTTTGCCCCTTTAAAGACGGATTTCTTTTTTTTTTTTTTTCTTTTTTGTTACAGAATATGCTTTATCAGCCGAATGAAAGAACTGTGCTGTCTGTCCTTGTCCCTAAGTGTTTTTATTCTTTCTTTGACTCCTTTAAGTGACGTAAGAAACGTGAGTCTGTGTCTGTGTTAATGGAGCACGATGTCCCTACACGCCCCGCAGAATGCACGGCGGGCGACTTCCGCTGCGACAACGGCATTTGCATCCCGTCCCTGTGGCGCTGCGACGGACACAACGACTGTCGAGACGGCAGCGACGAGCGCCACTGCGGGAGCTACCTCAAAGGTGAAGTCCCCCTTTAATCCGTTTCACATTTCGACCGCCAGGTCGCGCCAGCTTTCGCTGCACACTGGCATAGGCAGCACTTCCCGGCTTCCCTCCTTCGCGTCTTTCCCGTTGGGTGGCGTCGCCTCTCTTGGAGTACGCTAGGGCTAATTTTTTGCTATTGGCGGCGTGCGCGACCGAAAGCGTCGCTGTGGTCGGCCTTCCACGATTGGCCCAAAAGCTGACTATGACGTCGGAAAGGGTATACCATCGACGGAAATAAGAGGAATGAAAGAACTTCAATTTCAGCGGTGTTGGCAGTGTTGCTTTGAGAGCGCAATGATTTCAGGCTTCCACCATGCTATTTACAAACACCATCGAACTTGTTGTTCGCAAGGTAATGACGTCACAAGGGGGAACCATAGGAGGGCGCCACCAAAACATCTCGCCGCTAATACTCCGCGACAACTTTTCTTGGCAATGCAGTGGAAGGTACAGGCTCGCGTCCCCTCTCCCATTTTGAGTGTGCGCAGGCTCTCCTCCTCCCCTATTTTCGGGGAGAGGAGGAGAGCCCACACTCAAAATGGGAGAGGGGACGCGGGACGTACCTTCCACTGCATTGCCAGGAGGAGTTGTCGCAATTTCTTCCAGCTCGCTCTCTGCAAAAAAGGAGTCATCACTATCACTGTGAATATTCCCTTTCATCAAAAAATGATGAGATCGCAACGGATGCTACGAACCACCTTGGCCAACCCAACGATCCACATGACTTCACGCCCCGCGCGTGGCTCCGCCCAACTAGGTCACGTGATACACTCCGAGACAGGTCAAAACACGGCCGGTCTCGACGCGCGCGAGCGCGCGCGTCGAGACCGGCCGTGGGTAAGGGTAAAATGGAAGCTCCTCCCACCTCTTTCCACTTTAGCAGACCGAATGGAAATTGACTACCGTGTTTATTAAAACATAAGCGGACGTTGCTTGTTTGCTTCTTTCTCGCGGCATTTTTTTTTTTTTCTTTTTATTGAAGGATGATTTTTAAGTGCAACCAAAGGAGCAGAATTTCTGGGCCTATCGAGCTTATCCCAATGGTCATCCGTGTCATCCGCTGCACGCCGGTGCAAGGCGGTGGGGCTCGACGAGCGCGCGCCAGTGCGTAGTAATAGGGAGTTTTCGTAGATCGTTTTCGCCGCCCCGCAAGGCCCTCCGCAACCCGTTACGATAGCGGGAACTCCGCAGTCAAGACTATCGGCGCGCAGGCGCAGTAGCAACTTCTTCGTTGCGGAATGCTTAGCGGAGGAGGCAGCGCGGTCTACGAAAACTCCCTAATGACTATTGTCGCGACCATTGCCGGATTTAGAGGCCCAGTTGTACTGACACCCCCCCCCCCCCCCCCTTTCTCCCATGGTTGCGACTCGCGAGTAGCGCAGCGCGAGTGCTTCGCAAATATTCCCAGCCTCGACCGCTAGACTGAGCAAAAACCGCGGCGCGGCGCAGTCCTTGCTCACATGCTTCACGCTTTACGTTTTTTTGCAGTATCGTTTTCGCTTACAGTCGCCGTGCGGGCAGTAGCACCGCACGCTTCCATCTACTTTTCTTTCTTTTACTTCAATTCTTTTATTTTTTGCAAAAAATCTAAAAGGCCACACGCGAAGCGCGCAAATAGAGTATGGAACGGTCTTCAATGTTCCTCCGTTGTGACCTATTCTGACAGAGACGGGCGAAGTTCGCAACATATGCGGCCAACGCGGCTGCCACGCGGAGTAACGAAATTCAAACCCCGCTCGATCCCCCCCCCCCCCCCCCCCCCTTGTTTTTTTGTGCTTTTTTGGGGAAGTTTTAGCTGATTCTCGACTGTCGTCGTGCATTCTGGTTCGGAACATCCCTGAATGTACTTACCTCGTGTATGAAAGCGAACAAACTCACCTCATGACACGTTTATTTGAATTTCTCCATTAGTCCACCATTTTCCATCTGTGGCCAATATACGAAAATCTGTGAAGGAAGTGTCTTTTCGCATGTCAAGCCTCCCCTACCAGGGTAGAGGAAAGCAGAGAGCGGCAAGAGCTTGCAAACTGGCAATCGCTCGATGACGCCGCACAAATGTGCTCATGGCGGTGCACAAGGGAGCTTGTGCAGCGTCTGAGCTCATTTGTGCGGCGTCATCGAGCGATTGTCGGTTTTTAAGTAGACGCGGAAGGTGGCAGCACCATCGTTTTGTGCTTTGAAATAACTGGCAGTGTTCGCAAAGAACCCTAAAATCGGCCGTAGCATAGCCTCCTCTATACTGACAAAGCCTGGCAGTCCGCCACGCGACGCGGCCTCCGAAAGTGAAAAGGTAGGGCGGCAGGGGCGGCAGACAAGAATGAATAGATGGATGAATCCGGCTGAGCCCTTTGGATCGGGCGGTAGCTTACGCCACCTAGCCATTTTGTTTTACCATTAATGTGAAAACTATATTCACTCCGCACTGCAAAGAAAGTAAGGCTATAAAACACCCTTGCCATCAGTTAATAAGAAAATACCTAGTTTTCTCTCGCTTTCTGCCACCATTCACTTAATCTTTGCTTGGTAATCTCTACTCTCTAGAAATCCACTCTTCCTTCGCTGTCTCTAAAGCCCAATGACTTTATTAAATCTATGTTTTCTTCGGTAGGCATAGGATGAAGCCCTTTACAGCAGAGTATCAAGTGCTCAGCCGTCTCGTCCTCCTCTCCACAATCAGTGCCCACTGTATCCATTTCCCGGTGCTTCCCTCTGTATGTTCTGGTTCGCAGAACACCGCCCTCGCCTCCAACAGCAATGAGCTTCCCCTAGAATTGTCATAAATGCTTTCTTTGGCAATAACTGTTTTCTTTAATCTATAGCTTCCCAGAGCCGTCTTTGTCTGCATCCCCTCTAGCCACCGATCTCTTTCTGTGGCCTTAACTTTCTTCTTAACTGAGACCTGCTCTTCCGTAACTCCACTATAGCTTAAAAGCTTTCCTCTTAATTTCCTAGTGCGCTGTCTCCACTTTGTGTCTATACTCCTCATGTATAAATAGCTGAAAACCTTTCGTGCCCATTGCTCCCCATCCATTTGCCTCAACCGATCCTCAAATTCTATCTTGCTCACAGCTTCCCTGCTCTCAAATGACGCCCATCCCATGTCTCCTTGTAGTCCCTGGTTTGATATTTTGTAATGTGCCCCCAAAGACAGCCTACCTACTCCGCGCTGTTTTATTTCTAGTCTTGCATGTACTTCGGATTTCATGCATAGCACTGCGTTTCCAAAAGTCAAGCCAGGCACCATGACAAGGGGCATGTAACGGGCGCCCCGCTGCGGTGAGAAACCGAAACACACTTGCCCCGAGCACGGTGTAAGATACACTCTTTAGGTGAGGGCGCGGGGGGTCACCTAGCTGTGTTTGGAGATTTATGTTTGTCCTTTGTCCCTCTTGTTCCCCTTCTCCAGGGATTACTTTCATCATTCTTGTCCAGCTCGCTTGCACCTTTGCATTTAATTGCATTATAATTTATCGGCAAGTCGCCAGCGTCGCGAGGAGCGCGCTGTCCTTAGAGTTCCTGTATATAGCTACATTCGGGGGAGCATATCAAGGAACTCTATACTCTGTTTCATACTTAGCGTGCAACGCTGTCAAAGCTACTGGCGCGAGCGTGGGGCTCGATCTCGTTGATCATTTGCACGCGTTCTCGCGCAAACAAAACCATAGATGAAGCCGCGCGCTCGCGCCAGTAGCTTTGACAGCGTTGCACGCTAAGTATGAAACAGAGTATAGCTGTCCTCACCTGAAGAGTATTATCTTCAAGGAGGCAGCTCAAGTGCAGACGCAGCCGATGCTACGAGCGCGAGCTCTGGGCTTTCAGCGTCCCTGTCAAGCACGCGCGCTCGTGCGGTGCAAGCGCTACTCAGAGCCACATGCTCGCGCTCGTAGCATCGGCTGCGTCTGGACAAGCTGAAACCGAGTCTAGGAGGGGTGATGATGATTAATGGTTTAATGGCGCAAAAGCGACGAAGGCCATGCTGCGCCAGACTACAAGACTAATGCGACTCACAGTAATGTCTCGGAGGGGGCACGTTGCAATAATGGTGAAGCCGAGTCATAAAAAGTTTAAACGACGTTGTGGCCAACGTGACCGTAAATCTATCTGGCAATTGGTGCGCGTGACATGTCACGTGTGAGATGGATGGTTGATTGTAGAATGATTCCTTGCAGGCTTGCGCGCGCTCCGTCCGGCAGGTTTTATCAAACCGAAGGCTAGACTGTGGTGTACTCTAGTACCCCTTAGCTAGGCGAAGGCTAGCTACGGTCACGTGATGTGGTCACGTTGGCCTGATAAGTGAGGAGAGTATGGAGGAAAATGGGAAACAGGCGAGGCGTCAAGGGAGCATGGCTTGTGGAGGCTACGCGCAAATACTTTACTGAGGGGAATACATTCCACTCCTCTCTGACGCGGACCTCCACTCCGTCAGGGCTGGATTCGGCGCTGTAGGCATTCTGTCTAATGCAAATGAGCAGAGTGGAATGTATTCACCCTAGTAAAGTATAGACGCTTTGCACACGCGCCAGATTGAGCCGCCATAGCTGACCTCCTCCTGTTTCACCGAGATGCCGAGCCACCGAAGCGGGCGTTTATGAGCCCCCAAAGAGGTCTATGATGAGGAAAAGGACGCAGTAGCACCTAAAGTCGCAATAACCTGTTCTGCTGTGGTAATGATGACGTGAAGCGAACGGAATAAGGGGAAACAAAAACTGAAGGTCGCTTATGGCGGCGCCCATGCACAGCTGCTGCAAAGCGTCTATTTGCTACGCGGCTGGCGTCATGCCCTCTCCTACCCCTCTATCCTCCTTGATTATCTTACACCGTGGCCCCGAGCGATGGAATGTCCGCTCGGGCTTCTCGCGCTCCTCGGGCTACCGCTTCTTTTCTCGTCGGGTTTGAAAACCATGTTTCGGGTCCTCGCCGCTGCGAAAGTTGTGCGCTGAATACCGGACTCCCCGACAAATGCTCTGTGCTACCAGATCCTCGCGCTCCAAATCTGCGACTGGGCACTCTCTGGCTCCGTCATCGAACTGCCAGGCTTTGCGAGTATATATGGGGCTATGGCCGTAGTGATGCTACGAACCTTCTCGGCCAATCCAGCGCTGCGAACGTACCTGACTTTGCGCTCCGCTGAGCCCACCCAGGTCACGTGACCATTGGCCCGTAGCGTCAGCGTCCGCCAGTTCGCAAGCCGCCCGAAAGATGCAGACCCCTTAACCACCGAAGCTTGACACTGAACGATCGAGAAATGCCGACCTGTCGCTCTTTGTGACAACCCCCGACCCTATGCGGTCGGGGGTTGTCCTACGAGCCTATGCGGAGCGCAAGTTCGTCTGCGTCTTTTGCAGGGGTTGTGGTGACGTCAGAACGCAGAGCTCCGATTGAAGGATAGTGGGTAGACCTCGACGCAGTTGGCTTTGAGGTCTACCTACTATCCCTCATCAGTCAAGCGGAGCGCGGCTTCTTTCTAACGTCACCCCAACTCCTGTACAAGAAGCAGACGAACTTGCACTCCGCAGAACCCATGGCGAAGCCAGAGAGGAGGCTTAGCACCCCAGGTCATGACCCCCCCCCCCCCCCCCCCCCTCCGCCCCCGTAAAGATTCCTGGCTACGCCACTGCTATGACCCGTGACCGCCCTTGGGCCTTGCTTCACAAGAACAAATTCCAAGTCGCAACGCGGAATGAGTCGACCACGCATCCTGCCCTCTTTTCGTATGGCAACAAAATACGACACACGAGTTTCGGAGCCTTCCTTACACTTTATTGGTCGTAGTCACATAAGCGAGCCAGTTAACAGCCTACTGCACCAAAGAATCCGAAAATAAAATAAGACATACAAAGCATGTTGTCTTTTTTTGCAGTTATCGGACCAATGCACAAACCATAGTGGACTAACATCATCGCATTGACAAGAAGCCACGCCCTTAACCAAGAAGCCTGCATCGGGGGACTTGCCTGTCATCCCCCCGAGCATCAGGCCCATCGTCCGATCTCTTCACCCATTTATTTATGAGCACTGTATGTCTTCACCCCATAATGTCCTCTGCACATCCCCGTAATGAAAAAGAAACTTGGCTTATTACAGAAAAGAAAAAAAAAACAAACACCATTTGTAAAGTTTGTTATCGCAGTATTACTTGTGCATTGTCACGCTTCGCACCCAGAGGAATTGTTCCCGACCAGCTTAACGGATCGAAAAGTCGAAGGGCACAGTTCCATGCTGATGTCCTTCGGTGTCAGTCGTGGGCCGCTGCATGCTTGGGCCTGGTAAAGGGGTGGGTCTCGACCAAGTTCTCGGAGAAGCAGCTGGGGCAGAGCTCCATGTCCATAAGGTGGATGACGTAGGGATGCTCCGAGCACCGCTTGTTCACGCGGTTGTGGGTGCTCTGACCGCAAGTCTTGCATATGACAAAACCGGGAGGCCGCTGGCAGATGCACCGCGCCTGCGATATACCCACCATTTAGACGCGTACCACCACACACCAGTTGGACCAACTATTCACCCTATCAACAGACATTTGTGAACCATAACCCACTTCATCCCTTATGAGCGTTCGAAAGTATGGTGGTACCGCTGGGGTGGTTGCCACGTGCACACCAAACGGACCGGTGACGAGACGCGATCACAAAAGAGGCGCCTCAGCAAGCATCCGCGAAACGCTCCTGCACCTTCCACGGGCGTAAACTAGCGTCTGTGAGCGTCATTCCTCAGCGTCTGCTCATGGTTCATGCGTACTTAAAAAGCGTTTGAATGGATGCAAAGCTACGCACAGCGGAGACGAGACCTAAAAACATATGATGTTGCTCGCCAAGGACGTCGTTAAAAATTTGAGAGCTACGGGTCTATACAGGGAAACCAGTAGTAGTCTCCAAGTTCATCGGCGTTCAGGCTGGAAAATTTCATGCAGCCCTAAAGGAACTTTACTGCTACAATCTGCTCACGCAGCGGCTTTTCCTGTTCCTGTCGTCGGCGTAGTTGACAGCGACGAACAAAATGAGGCCATGGCACCGAAGCCCGGTTCACATGGTGCGATTTTACTTGCCATTTCGCAGTTGCGACGCGGCTCGTGCGTCAGAAAAAGCATGGTGGAAGCTACAGTTCTCAACATCGCAGCTGCAAAAGCTCACCATGTGCATCAGGCGATCAGTGGGCAAGAACGAATTCCTGCGGCCACGAACAAACATGCTCCGCGTTTTTGTTTGTTCACAGTCCATTATTAACATAATCCGTCGTCTGCTCCGTACGACCAACGCAAGGGCCGGAAGCGTTGATTTAACCGGTACATGGACTGACTACGTCTGCTTCGCTCACGGTCCAAAAAAGAACACTAGGTTAGGGCTAAAAGTTCGTTACGTTCTTTAGATTGATGCATAGGCGGCGTCAGACGAATGTACCAAATACACTCGTGAATGAGGATCACGAGAAGTATAGGCAGGCGTGACGAATGAACGCGAATTAAAGGTTCCACATTACCTGGTTGTTTGGTTCGGAAGCGATACCTGTCTTCACGGGCTTCGACATTCCCGCAGTGGCAACGCTCAAGGTAACCCGAGCAGTTGTCAATCAAATCAAGCACGCCGAGCACGCGTTAAAATAGCTAAAAAAAAGAAACTGATCACGTGGTTAAATCACATGCGACTGCTACGCCGCCCAGTGAGCGATCATATCAGCATTACAAGCGGCCTCGTTTCGTGATATCGCCTTTCGCACTCACTTCTACCATTAACCGAGACATTCCATTTTCACAAAGAATCAATGACACACCGTGATTTTTGAGTGCTCACATTAACCGCTTCAACCATTTTAATAGCAAGGCGGAAAGTGTGGTTTCGGTTTCGGTTCTGCTTACAGCGCGAAATTATCCCCACGAAACGTTCATACAAAATAAAATACTTCCATTTTATTTGTGTCTAGTGTGTTACAAACTGGCAGTGATTACAGGCTATACTTTATACAGGCACTACCAAAGTAACGTCCATCATAAGCGTCTTTTTTTATTTTATTTTTTCCCCTCACAGAATTGTACCAATAAAAGCGTTGAGCCAATGAAACGAACCCACCTTCCTGTCTCTGTGCTTCAACGATAGAATGACCACAAAAACGGAGTGTCACCTCAATGATACTGCTCCGAGCCATGTAATTGGAGACCTAATTACAATTACTAGCACATATAATACACCAGACAGATCATAATAGGTACAGTGGCAATCACGAAGGCCGCACAAAACAAGTACACAATTCCAGACACAAAAGATGCACCACATGGGAAACAAATGGGGAAAAAAGATAAATATATTGGCACTGGTTGGACACAATGATGAAGGTGCACAAAGATGATGGCTCCGTTCTTTAACCTCTGTGCCTTTACTAGTGTTGTAAATGCTTACCCACATCAACTGAAAAAAAAAAAAAAAATGCTTTGTCTTGAGCTGGCTACCTCTCCTCACACAATACATGCTCATCATACAAGTGAGTTTAAAACCTATTGCCTACTCCAAACTCTTGAATTCCACGAAACATCTATGTGAAAATTTAAGGTGTGCCTGCAGTGATCAGTGTAGTACACATCCCCCTGTATTGCTATTTTATTTTACCCTCATTTACAACATTTCCTAGCTTTCAGGCGATTCGACTGGCTGTCGATAACATGTACAGTAAACCAGACTTTCTTATTTCGAATTCATCTCTAGAAGTTACTCGTGAAGCAAACAAAGCAGCCGTGACGTCAATGGGGATCTGAACTCTTGGAAACGTGAACAGCGACATATCTGCATATCAAAGAGATGTACAAGGAACTAGCAGGATTATGCAATGGTACAGGTATATGCTAAGGTAACAGCTTTTGATTTATGTACAAACTAGCAACAAGCAGGATGGTTCAAGAACCAGCACGATGGTTTGAGGAATGGGCATTGAAAAAGCTCTGGTTATCTCGAAGTCACCAGGAGTAAGGATTGAGATCATGAGTGATGCAGGATTGTGAAAATGTGCACAGATGAAACCCTAAACCAAACAATGCGAGTGATATTTTAGAAGACCCTATCAATTTCCTATATTACATATTTGTGATACCTACATCTTCTAAAAGGAGCTATTAGACATTAAAAAAGTGAGAAAGGTTTTGCACGAATATACTTGAGATATTGCAATGGTCGTGACTGCTGTGTTTTGAAATGCACTCGACTAGGGTATCATTTTATATATGAAAACGAGCAGGTGTTTTTTTTTGTGTGTGAACAGAAGAAATAGTCTTATTAGCGGTTGGTGACCTGTTTCCTCATTTTCTCGTGTGTGTTAGGTCTGCAGTGCTGAAGATATAATGATCTTACTTTTTATTTTGTTCAACTTAGTTCCATATTTTTTCTATTTAAAAAAGAATGACATTACTAATGCAGCAGCTCTTTCTCAAAGTAATGTCTCCTTGAACTACTATAGCCCCTACAAAAGATCCCCACCTCTCTCAAAAACCTCGAGAAAGCTTGATAACAAAAAAACGAAACCCCACCCAACTGTGGCTTTCCTCATAAAAAGAAAGACAAGCCACAGTTAGAAGGGGGTACATTTCACAATCCTGCAAGGAATGACAATGTTGGAATAAGCATAGCAATGAAACAGGAGTATGAAGGTCGACACTCAAAAATACTCAATGTTCAATGTGCCTTGAGCAAAACATCTCCTCATATATTCCTTTTTCATCCTAAAAACAACACTCGAGCATGGAACGCACGTGAAAATGCAACAGTGTAAAATGCTCAGATGGAAGCCTAAAAAACAAGGAATAAATAAGCTATATTTCTTAAGTCCACTTGAAAACCAGCAAGTGAGTCCTTTACATTGTTCACAAAGTTAGATCTGTCGACAGTAGGAAACAAGAGTGACGTGGTAATGCGGTAGCAAACGAACGAGCAAAAGTATTCGTTGTGGTGGGCCAATAATGAGTGGGAAATAAGTAATAAGACACATAACAAAAAAGTAAATTTTAGAAAAAAACACTGGGGAAAATACAGAAGGGCTAAGCCACCAACCGTAGAAATGAAAGTTGATGTGGTTGCTATTTACACGTGACAGCGCTCCGTTCCCCAAGCGTAGCATCTTTAGGGGACGCTGACGAGACATTCTTTGGTTTTCCAAGACAACTCTTTTGCCTCACTTTGCACTCCACGGATGCATAGTGCGTGCCACAACATATGGACAGTGGAACGGGAACCCTTTTTACCCAAACAATTTAAAGGGGGACATCAAAGGCAAGCACAGAATGCAACATCAAAACAACAATGTATGCGACGACATAAAGACCGTCCTGATCGCAAACACAGCAGCGGAAACATGCTAAACAGAAAATTTGCAGGCAGCTTTAGGAAACACTTGTGTAAAGCATTCGCAAAACTGCACAATACCAATCATGTAACAAGAATTATTCAAGGTGCACAAGTCTGTGCTCAACATTCATAACCTAATCTACTATCCACAAAAACAAATGTGGTTTTTGTTTTTTACTTGCTTTCATGCACCAACTTCTTAAAAAGTATGTTTTTCACCAGATTCCCTCACAGTTCCACTTCACCTAGGAACTTCTGTAATTATGCTGAAATGCCGTCACAAAAGGTATGGCTGCAGTAGGAAGCTCAAAAAGAAAAAGAATGGCTTTAGAAAAAAACTAAGAGTAAAAACAGCTGTAAAGTTTTGTAGAAGGGCATTATTTTGTAATACCAAGCAATAAAAAAAAGTGCCTCCAAATATTTTAAAACATTCCTTAGATTCATCAGATATAGAAACGATTGAAACACCATGACAAATACAAAAAAGTTTGACTCAAATGTATATATTTGTACAAGTGCAAATATGGTCAGACCTCGCTCTGGCAACCCCAAAGTTGCTCTTCACCTCTAATAACGAAAAAAAGCTTAAAAATACCAACCATTAAACAAAACCTATGATCTGCAGACTGCTGCGAGCAATAAAACAATGTCACTAATGAGTATAAACACTGTCTAGTGATGACTGTTCTTTTGGCTTTCATTTACAAAATTATTCAGTTACATAAATGAAATAGTAAAATACTAAACATTCAAATTTGAACACAAAGAAATTAAAAATTAATGGAGGTAAATAAATGTGATAGTCCCGCCTGATGCCATCAACGTGGGGCAAGTTACGAGACAAAATGAGCCATGACTCGTCGTAAAGTGGCCAATATTTACAGTGAGACAACTCTAAGAAAAGATACCTGCCCCATCTCACCCTCAATTTACAAAATCTCTCCACTCGTTAACAGTCTCAGTGGCAACCAAGGGGTAGAAATCTGAGAGGTCTGACCGTATACACACACACCAAAAAAAACGCAAGCGCCACAACATATAAGCAGTCATCAAAACATTCCCACAGCCAACCAACAAAAAACATTCCCTTCCCAGCGTCAAATCGTGAGACGCTCATCCACCTTCCGAGCGTCTGAACAACAACCAACACGCCGTCTGAAAATGGCACCAACAGATGGTCTGTAACACCGGCGTCCTGGCACCAATGAGGGACACGCCCTCCAGTTCGGGATCACCCCCTTTAGAACCGCCCTCCCCTCCTCTGAGACCCCGCACTCGCCGGCGTCACGGGACAGACAAGCCGTCCAACGACCAGACGACTGTTGAGATGACCGTCTCCAAGCAGACGACCGCTCCGATGACTGTCTCCAAGCAGACGACCACTAAGATGACTGTCTCCTAGCAGACGACCACTCAGACGACTGTCCCCTGGCAGACGATTGCTCAGATGATCGTCTCCGTGCAGACAACTGCTTAGGTGACTGTCTCCTGGCGAACAACCGCTTGGATAACTGCCTCCGAGCAGACGACTGTTCACACGACCGTCTCTGAGCAGACGGCCACTTAGATGACCGTCTCCGAGCTGTTGATGTACGGCGGGCGGCCCCCTCCCCGTGACGACCGCAAGGACTGTTGGCTGGCACGCCCGTGGGCACTGACATTTGGGTTGGCCTTGCCGTACAGTGAGTGCAGGCTGGACCGGGAGCCCAGAAAGACCGGGTTGCTCAGGCCGCCGCCGCCGCTGCCGAGGTGGGCGTAGCTGTCGTTGCTCGACGTGTCCAGGGACCGGTCCAGCAGACGCGTCACGGGGTTCTGGTAGCGGACCTGGCCGTTGCTTCCGCGCTTGGAGCGCGTGGAGCGCCGCTTGACGCGCCGTGGCGTCATGGGTGCCCGGGGCGGTCCCGGCGGGTCGTTGGGGGGGTCGGTCCTGAACTCGATGCTATAAGGAAGGCTGCTCAGCGGCTTTCTTTTGTTTCTTCTCAGCATAGCTGCGAGCGAGGAATGAATGAATGAAAATATGTGCATGGTGAAAGACTGCAACGACAATACAATACCCTGTTGCAGGTTAAGAGAAGCAGAACAAGCTCTTCCTCCACTGCTCACATTTAAAAGAGTGAAGGTTGGAGAGGAGGGAGGTGAGGAGAGACTTGCTTCCTCTCCGGCGATCATTCTGCAAAACTGGAAAGGGTGGAGTAGGAGCTCGTCCTACTTTTCTTAACCCACGAAAAGGTATAGAAAGATGAGAGCTTCACGAAAAGAGTACTCTGCACGTCGCTCCTCATAGGATCCTCTGGGCTCTTAAGGCCCGTTCACACTCTTGCGACCTCTTAGAACTAGTGCCTTGAAACCCCTTATGAGTAGGGAGGCTCAAGTGAGGGTGGGCGCAACTGCTAGATCGGGGATCACGGGACATGGACGCCATTTAATTGCTAAATTTTGCTGGGAGTCTATGGGGCAAAGGGTCGTTTTCTTTTCTAACTCAGGTCATATGAGCCCATCAAGGTGCTTGAATAATTTACACAAGGTATAATTGATTACCTTTCCATAGCCACCAGTTTTGTTCCGGTAGGCTAAGTATTTTTTTAACGCGAAAAATGGTAAATTTCAATATCTTGGACGTTGCTGCTTGTCTGGCAACCCTGCTTTGTCCTCTCGACGGTTGCAATTCTCGGAGCGAGAAGGAAGCGAGAGAGGCTGCGCCAAGGCGTTCGTTGCTTGCAATGGGAGGCGAGAGGAGGAAAGGCGCATGGAGCAATAGAGTTGCAAGAGAGCGGGCGTCTTCTCTCGTGCAGGCAACATTGGCGCATATCCTTTCTCGAATCCTCTCCCTCAGGCGCCGCCATTAAATTGCAAACGCTCTCCAGGTTTTGAGTTGCGCCCACCCTCACTACAGCCTCCCTACTTATGAGAGGACACACTGGCGCCATCTATTGGGTAGCAGTGTAAACTTGGCGGTCCGGCATTATTTATATTTCTCTCCCGCATTATCCTTTCTTTCTTGGCTCGAAAAATATTTGTGAATGTTATAAACGAGCCTTTCTTATAGGTTTTACGCACATTTGACCTCGAAAATCCTGCAAAACCTTTGCTCTTGTGAAATGCAGTTCCAGGGTCACCGCAAAGATGGCGCCAGAATGCCAGTGTGTTTCCTCGTCGTAAGAAATTTTACGAGGTTTCAACAGGTCTCGTCTCTCTCGGTCGTTCTCGGTTGCAAGAGTGTGAACGGGCCTTTAGAAGCATGCTTACCATTTCAAATTGAACATTCCATTCATGTATTGTATTTTTTTATCCTTCTTCAAAATTACTGGAGGCAAATGCGAAATGCTCATTTCACTTTCCCCACGATTACGTCAACAATAAAATTTAACTGAGTCGCCAGTAACTATCCTAAATATTGATGCAAAAGTGTGTAGGCCGATAAAACTGAAACTGGCACTTTGCTACCATGATGTGCGGGTCGAGCTAAAGCTAGAAGGCGCTCAGCTTCTGGCGTTTTCCAAAGGTCATCGCAACTGACAGCAGGGCACTTACTGTGCCGCGGTAAGCGGCATGGTCGATCAAAACATTCAGTCTTGGATCTCGCATCTTTCGCGCATGAGTGAAAACTATTAGTGTGGCAGGTGTGCGCACGAAACCAGACTGTCAAGTACGACACTCAAGGCTAGCCTACGTGAGCAGAACGAGCAAAAATGCTAACCCCGCATTCAAACAAACCGAATCACTCACCACACGTGCACCGTGGAACAGATGCTTTGCACAAAACATCACAAAACAAATCAAAGCGAGGTTTCTGACCCCTCCTAGAGTCAATCAGGGCAAAGGCAGCTTCAGGCCACCGAGTGATTGATTCATAAAAGGTATCAGTGTTGATGGCGATGTTATACTGTATTAATTGAGAGGACAAAAATACCAGAAAGCGGTTAGCAAGAAAAAACATTTGAACCAATCACCGAAAATGGGATTCGAAAAGAAAACCCAAGCTACTACGGAGTAGAAGGCAAACAATGAGAGGTCAGAGAAATGTGCAACCAGCCACTCGTGGGAGTGGCTGCTGGGAAATACGTGGCTGTATAGCCCGTTTTTCCTCAATGCTACGTTTGGAAACCACTTTATTTGGCAGCAAATCAAAGACAATAAAAAATCTATGTAATGGAGTAATGTGCACGAGAAAACAGTGCACAGACTTCCAGAGACACTCTCATATCCTGAATCACTCATCAGTTGCATAATATATTGTTTTTACAGTAAAAACAATTATACTCAAATCGGAATAAACTCGCAAACAACCACAGGTCCCTAAGAAACCTGACATGTAAACGTGGCAAAAACACTGATTCAGCCGCATTGTGTTTGGCCACACATTTAGTTATTGGCATGATACAGCAAAATAAGACGGATGCTTTCTGGCCGCACACCGCACCTAGGCCGTTCCGGAGGTGCGAGACACCGCCTCGCCGCCAACAAAAGACGCCCCAGCGTTACAAAAGTGGAGTCTCGAGTAAACTTTCTCAATTTGCACAGTGTTTCTTCTACAGTCCAGACTGCGCAGTTCTCTCGCCTCATCAACGCAAAGCACCAGCAAAGCACCAGAAAAGCCCACGACCGCACACTCCCACGGCTTTGTTTGTTGTGACCACAATCTCCAGGGAGAAATCAAACAAAACAGGTTTAAACAGATTAATGCGCATGAAGCATTATTAGAAGGGATCGTGAAACCGTAACTGGCAGTGGGAGGACTGAACGATCCCTCCCTCCCCTCGTGAGACTGCGCCATTCTGAAGCTGCACATCGGATCTCTAAAGGAGACATTCTTTCAGACGTTTTTTTTCTTCATTTACTACCTCCGAGGCACCACAGGCCTGATCGTAACACCTGTCTTGTTCTGCCTCTCCCCCCCAACATAAACTGTACAGAGGATTTGTCACCAATAATTAATTTTGCTTTTGCTGGGTTTCAGAATTAGGCTTTGTGTGGCAGTCGACGCACCGAGTATGTGCAGCCACCTGAAAAAAAGGTTGTTAAATAAAAAGCAACTTGGGCATCACCACGGTTTATTTAAACTTTCCAACAAGCACAAACAGAAATTGATGTCTGTTCTGCCTTATACTTCCCTCATAGTCCCCCTAACAATGAAAGACAAGCCAGGAAAATTTGGAGCCAAGTGCAAGCGAGACGGTTAGCAGAAAAAGTAGAGGCGTGAAACGTGGCAAAGCGTCAGCCAAAAGTTAACAAGTGCAGTAAGGCATAATCGAAAGAGAGAGAGAGAGAGAGAGAAAGAGGTACATACATCGTGTGTTGCATGCGACACTGCTTTGGTGGGGTTATGTAGGCAGAGTAAGGGTCAAAGCCCCCAATGAAATCAACTGTAAGAAAAGGCAGGAAAAATAAAAATACATTGTGTGGGTTCACTGGCTCAGACCTTTAAACAGACATTGTGAGAAGCTCTCACAGCAACTGAGTTTGTATAAAGGTGGCATAGAAGCAAAAAAGAGTGATATTCATGTCTTACCAAACAGCTGTTACGTGCATATTCAGTTCTAGTACAAACACTAGCAAACCCTTGGATAAAAGTTGGGATTGTGGTAGTGGAAATCAGTCAAAATCTGACAGTAGTAAGTCAATCATATTAACTTTGCCCAATTTATATTCCACCTTACTAGAGTTTTAACATTTTGTTAACTTTCGTTCACTGTTTTAACCTATTCTTTTTTACAGAGCTACAAAAGTGTACTTTACCGGGCCCAGGGAGCTTACAGTACTGCTAGAAATACAAAGGAATGTGAACACCAGGAAACTGAAGAAATATATCACACTTAAGAAATATATCACACTTATGCAAAACAGCCCCCAAGTAAAAGTAGCTTTGACACTGGTATGTGTGATGTTATAATTATGACTCAGTTCTGAGGGGACTTTTTCTTAATCAATTTGATGATTAAACGTTTGCCAGCTTTGTTTTGAAGATCTTTACACTTGTTCTCACCTCAAGAACCTAGAGTAAACAAAACAAAAAAAATACCTCCTCCTCACAACGCTTTACTGATTTCCTCCTTCATACGATGAGAATTGAGATACCTACTTGCATGCATGTTTAAGATCCATTTATTATTACATAAAGATATACATGTTTAAAATACAAAAAGAATAGTTTCTTCTCTTACAACCAAACCTTGTGAGAACTACTTTGCATGTCGTATAAACTATGTGCAAAACTGACTTTTGTTTCTTTTTTATTAAGGGGAAAACTTTTAAAAACGATGACTTATTGACCCTGATTTCTCTGAATTTTAATGAAATGATGAAATTCATTGTAAAAAAGGCTGGCTGCATGCACATTGCCCCAGGCACCACCTCAACCATGTCATGGCACAAAGAGAGCTTGTGTGCAAAACTGACTTTTGTTTTTTTTTTATTAAGGGGAAAACTTTTAAAAACGATGACTTATTGACCCTGATTTCTCTGAATTTTAATGAAATGATGAAATTCATTGTAAAAAAGGCTGGCTGCATGCACATTGCCCCAGGCACCACCTCAACCATGTCATGGCACAAAGAGAGCTTGTATAAAAAAAAAAAATGAAACAATAAATGAAAAAAAAAAAAAAAATAATTTTACGATTGAAGGGGGCTGGACACAATACGAGGCCGAGTTCAGCCTACCGTAGCATCCTGAGAGATGCCCCACCCCCAAAAGATAGCTCGCCCCCTATTTCTGGCATGATTTGCTATTTTTTTTTTCAGAAACATGAAAGATAGCCCACGTCCAGTAATTGCAGGGCCCTGGCAAATGGTGACTTTGGCAAAAACGGTGTTACTTAACCACGGTGGGAGATAAGCTGACGTTGCTGACTGGGAAGGGCAGTAGTTTTTGGTTCAATGCCCCTTCCTGCGACCACAAACTTTCGAGGGTCACAAAAGCTAAAACTAGCATTTTCTCCGCAATAAAGTAGAAAGTTGGGTTAGTTGGTTGGTTCCCTTTTTGTCCTTTTGCGTTGCGTATTTGTCATTATGTATAGCATTTTCTCGCCTTCTTCTTCTTTTTCTTTTTTTTTGCACACCGAAAGTTAGTTTACCCCTTATTTTCATCCGAACGATTTTAGGTGGCCTATCTCTAGGGGTATTACAGTGATTGGTTACTGAAGGGGTCGTGTCTTTCCACCAATTGCCGAGTAACCCCTCTCCCAGTCTCAGTCTCGACACTGATGCAACGAGGTGGTGCAGAAGCTTACACATTTTGTAAACAATAATGCAGATACTGGGGAATGTTTGGCCGATGGCTATGCACGTGGGTGGCTCAGACATACTTAACTAGTGCTTAACCTGGAAAAAAATTTTACTCCACAAGTAGGGATTGTTGAGGGAATTTTGGAGCTCAGGTAATGCATGCGGGTACTCTAAGGATCCATCCCCTGGGTTCCTAAAAGCCTAATTTGAGAACCCATAGTTGCCAGCCAAAAACAAAAACAGCCAAAAGATTTCTTTTTTTTTTTTTAACAATTACAAAACAGTTAGTGCAATAAACAAAGGGCAAGCTACGATACATTTATAGTAGTGGTACTGCCGTGCAGGCAAGAAACGAAACTTACACGAATCGTCCTCTTGCGTGTAGAGGTAGATGACGTAGCACCCTCCAACGAAACCGACAAACTGCAATTCAAACAGTAAAAAATACAGTTCAAGTTTCACGACAAATGTGCGACAGCTAGGCTGGTTTTTGGGAACAGGTGCCCTGGTCAAGCAATATGATCCATATGCTCCAAAGCAGAAATTTGCAAGTGTACAATTTATGCCATCTATAGCCTTTGTAACTGTTGCCTTGCAATGGCTCCCTCGCCTTGTCAAGCTGTTTTCACAACCTTTCTGACAGGGAGACCACAACATTGTAAATAAACTTAGATCTTTGTGGGCATCTTTGATACCCCAAAACCTGCATCCAGTGAAATGGAGACAGGACGTCTTGGTGGCATCCAATCCAGTTGGAAGGCTTCCAAGAACCTTTCATGCAAGTACATAGCGCTTCAGAGTTATCACCGCACTTGCTACCAAATTGCAGTCAGCACCAGCCAATCACACCTTCGTAGAACACAGAACATTGCTAACGATGGTATATAGTACACCCAACCTCAGCGCCACTGAGCAAGCACCCAATTTCGGCAGACAACAGTATGCATTCCTTCTATATGGTTCTTACCCATATGCAATACACAGATATTATCGTCGCTGAAATGAGTGAGATTTCCAGTGTACAAAAACCACAACATGAAGCCTTGGGTGTCCAAATATCCAAACATCACATTGCACAAGCAATAAATATAGTGCGTAATAGTGACTTTACTTTGTGTAGCAACTTTCGACCCAACGGAGGGCTAAGGCAGCGATTGAAGCACGAAATGTGACTTCAAAACGGGAGGCCTACAATGGTGCACCCCAGTGAATACCCCTTGCACAGCTCATAAATAATTCTAGCCATCTAGCTATTTCATGTACATTATATTTTGACGCTGTACGCCTCGTATATAGTAAAGTACAACAGCCTCGTTCCAACGGATCTGGTTACAGCAGATACTGTTATAACATAGCGGTTTTTGAAGTTTGGTTGGTCTCCCCATTCATGCCTCTAAGCCAACTTCGCTTATTATAGATTCTGTTATAACATACAGTCGAATGTAACGGACTAGTAAAGGAAAGTTTGTAAGTAGTTTAGTATTCCATTGTAATGGACTCTTGGACAGCAGTCGTTATTTCTGACGTTACGTGGGTTTGGATCGGCAGCGGTGGCATTCATTTTGCGCACTACTGTTATTGCGCTCAGCACCTCACGAGCCTCATGATCGTTGTCACGCAGTGACGACGATCATCGGTACAACTCAATGAAAAGTCACCATGTTTCAAAGTTCAAATGTTTCAATAAACCATTTTTTGTTTTTTCGAATATCTATTTACATTACATCAGTCTTGCTGGTTAGAACAGACTCAAGTCATAATACATGTAAAAGTCTGTAGTGAGCGTATTGGTGTCCTGCCTACTCTTTTTACGACAGAGCAAAATCTTCATCACTATCAAGGTCTCTTATAACGAATTTATAGTGTAATTAGAGCCCCGTGTTTTTGGTATATACCGAAAAACCCCAAAAAATGGCCCCGAGCCGGTTTTATTAAAATAAAAAAGCCCACCACCCCCAAGAAAAAACAATTGAAGCTGCTCTTGCATAAGAAGTAGCCAAGCTTTACGGAGGGAATCTTCGTCTATGGTTTTCTTTGGTGTCCACCCGAAACACGACGCCCACTGAACTGTCCGTGAGGCCACTTCCGCCGCTGGAAACTGCTACCCTTGTTTCGTTTTCTTCTTCCAATGGTACCAGGAAATTTTTTAAGCATGCGGGTCATACACACATCCCCCAGGGGTTGGAGAAGCCGATGTCCCATTTATTTTAATGTAAGCCCCATGTCGATGCCTCTGTCCCACACCAAAACATACCCTGAAAAACGCAAAATCTATGTGAAAAAAAAAGAAATCCACCAAAAAATTGCCCCACTAAAAAAAAAAGCCAGCTTGCCACCGTTTACAATGTTGGCAAGGGCACGAATACTAAGCCAACTCATGAAGTCGGGTTGATGTTCACTATAATCGCTGACGGAATGAGGACAATGGGGGAGATCCTTTAGTTGTCCCGCCTCCAGCGTGAGCTTCGCAACTTCGATGCTGCTGCTTCGGCGTCTCGAGAACCTCGAGCGTGCTTGCGCAGCCAAAGCACTGCGAAAGGCCAACAAGCACATGCCGGAGGCCAGGCATTCGAAAAAGGCGCCCTGTTCTCGCCTCGCCGGAGACTATGACCAACGGAAGGCAGGCATTCACACTCACTGCAAGAAGACACTGGACCCCTGCCTGGATGCACTCCACGTGGTAGTATTCCAGGAGACATCCGCTCACAAAAACCGGCTTGGTGACGGCCAGGATGTCGTCCGAAGAGCTGAAGTTGAAGACGGCCGAGCAGCCGAAGCCGTGGGCTTCCCACCAGCTACGGCTCCCCGTGCCGATGTTCAGAATGCTCGAATCCTGTAGAAAGGAAACATGGTTAGTCGTGTACAGGTGCGGAGGAAGCCACGACTCGCGCAATGCTGAGAAGGTGAGATCTCAGTGGGGACATGAGAGGGTGGCACAAAATAAAGCGGACGAGCATCAAAGGAAAAGTACCCTGCTTAAGAAGCCAACTTCCATGTAGAGACAGATCACGAAGACGTTCCAACCGATCCAGGCAAAGGTCCAGACGAGGTACTGCGGGGACGAGAGAAAGAGGTCAACTGTATGGTAGGAGGACAAATTAGGGCGCAGCGAGTAGCTCCCTGGCATCTGTCATAGCCTATCAATGGCTCAATAATGACAACCAGTGGCATTGACAGGAATTTGTTTCGAGAAAAGTGTTATTTAGCTGGCTATGAAGAGATGAAGGCGGTGGGGAGGGGGGGGGGGGGAGGGGGGCAGCGTGACAAACAAACGCCATAAAGACGTTCCTATGCCACTGACCAAAACGTGTATAGCTTTGTTTTGTGTTTACATTCCTGCAAATACTGGCTTTCCAAGTGTGCTTTCTGAGACACAGAGTTGCGTCCTCTCATAGTGGTGCAAACATGCGAGATGAAGCCAGTTCGGAGTACATCCGGCTTAATTTCGTCTACGACTGCAAAGGCATCTTCCGAGGTTCGTCGGCGAGAGCAAGGTCGGAAACTCACCGCAGCGACGTATCTAGGCCGGTAGTGGTACGTTCCGAAGAACCCGAAGATGACGAATATGATCTGGAAGAAGTTGCCCAGGATCGGGGCCCACATGTAGCCCAGAAAGTCGAAAACTTGCCGCTGGAAGGTCGCAATCTGCGAGAATACGAGCCGAAATATTAGCAGCGCGTTGATCTTTACTTGCCAGCTCGAGACCCACAACAACCCTTTGGGGCGACTTTAGAAAGTGCCTGGAACTAACTTTGAGAAATCAAAAGCAGTACCCAAAACTTCAGACGAAAGAAAACAGGGCAAGGAAAGCGGTAAAATAGGAGGGCGAAGTATCGAGGGAATGGAACGAGAACCACTCACCAGTTGAAGGATGCAAATCGTCAAAACCAGAGCTCTGGTACCGCAGCAAGACATACTGCCTTCCGTGTATGGGTCGTTAGTGCCTCATATCTGAGCCTCCGAGAAAGTTTCAAAGGATAAGCGTTACCGCAGCGGTTAGAGGCTGCGATAACCGCCGTCGTTGTGCTGCTGATACCGACACGGCCATCATAAACATTGCGCTCCAACCGACCACCGTCGACGTTCGTCGGGCTCTTCCTCCTCACGCATTCCAGGCATATCGACGTCGTATCGTTTCCTCGAAAGTCGACCACAAACACCCGGATGAGTTCATCTTCCCGGATATTAATCACACCGAAGTTTTATCGGTTTTATTTCCTCGAGAGGCCAAAGTTGGGAGAACTCACACCACAAGACAAGGGAGCATGCGCAAGCATCCGTGACGCGCTACCGACGCTACCTCTGGAGGAAAATATTCGGTCAGTGGGGTCAGTGTGTCTTGTTTTGAAGCAGAAATAGGGCGTTTGCATCTATTGGGTTATAGACTGCGCCATCTAGCCTATGGGGCACAAAGTACAGTTCCTACCGGTGTATGCAAAGATTGGTTCGCGTTCGTCCTGCCCCGTGTTATACTGTGTTATGCTGGGTGTCACAAAAGAAAATTTACACGGTCTTTTTAGCCGCAAAAATAAACTAAGCATCGCCGAACGCTCATTCTCCGCCCAAAGGTAGAGCTAGAGGTCACAACCAGATGCCAAAGTTTCAGCCCGATCCGATGACTTAATCAAAAGTTATAAGTGATTTTCTGAAAATTTCAATGGGAAAATGGCGGCCGACGGAGTTTTCAAACACATGGGGCTCTATGGCACCAGAAACCGAAAACGGGCAAAATTGGACTCCATTTTCCCATTGAAATTTTCAGAAAATCACTTATAACTTTCGATTAAGTTATCGGATCGGGCTGAAACTTTGGCATCTGGTTGTGACCTCTAGCTCTACCTTTGGGCGGAGAATGAGCGTTCGGCGATGCTTAGTTTATTTTTGCGGCTAAAAAGACCGTGTAAATTTTCATTTGTGACACCCTGTACATGACAGCAATGAGAGCACGTCGATACTATGGTGGCTAGAGAGTTGGGTGTGTCGAGCGGCGGCCGGCGCGCGGCACCGAAACGGAAATCTGTCGCTAGGAGGCGCCTCGGTAGGCCTGTATGCTATCCGACCGCGGCGTTTTGGCTGCGCTGGGGCCGAAATGCGGTGCGTGCAAGCCTTTACGCGGCCACTTGTCGGCTGTGTTTTTTTACAGAATTAATTGGCGTGGCATAATGAAAGTGTGATAAACCTGGATTCGATAGTCGACCCGAGTTTGGAGCGTCGACGAAGGTAAATGCGCACTTGAAGTCGTTCTATTCTCACCGCAACCTTCTCGTTCGCGTTACGGAGGCGTTGATTCCGTGGTAATATAGGAAAATGGGGAATTTTTTTTTAAATATTTTCTCTCGTCTACTACGTTTTCGAAATACGTGAAACGTCCACCGAGGTATCAGCAGCCGTGACGAAATTTCGCGTTTCAAGCCGCTGTGTCACGTCTGTCAAATGAATCGACGCTGAACCGCGCAGGCATTTTAACATTAAAATATGTCGAGGACACTGGACACTTCTGGTGCAATTCCCCTGTGATTCAAGAGCAGACATGGCTGGCGAGAAACAGCGCGAAAAGTTGTCTTGACACAAAGCAAACAATGCATTTTTGGCACTTTACATTTTTATTCAACGTGGAAAACTAGCAATGAAATACAAAATCGATTTTAAAAGAGAGTGAGCGAAGTAACATATTATACATGTTACATGAACCATTCCTGAACGAAATATTCAGGAATAGGCAATGCAATTGTCGTGACTTCGGCAAATAAAATATCTCGAGAAAAAGCAAAAAAAAAAAAAAAAGCTGGCATATGATCTTCCACATGGTAACAAATATATCTTTCTCATGTGTACCTTCTTTTCCACGCTATAATCGCAACACTACTGAACATCGTAAGGCTGTCCTGGGTATTCTTGGCTGTATGCGTGAACAGGTTTTCAAGGCTGCGTCTAGAGCAGACCTAAGGGCACCCAGACACCAGTAGTGATCGTATTTGTCTTCAGTAAGTAAAGACATAATTTCGATTGATCAAAAATATTGTGCCTCCTCACCAGATGACTGCAGTTTGATTGTCGAGATCACGCTGTTTTAGGCAGGACATAGGTATAGGAACACAGGTTTAAAGTACAACGAGGTTCTTTACAGCCATTCGCAAGACCCACAAGCACTCTGAGAATGAACATACCCTATCATGGTACCATGAGAAGGCACATCTTGCAGTCAACGTTCTGCCTTGAAGTCCATCAGGACAAGAATGACAGTACCGCAAACAGTTATTAAGTACCGTCGAATTTTGGTCACTTCAAACGGGCTATAACAGCACACAAAGGACAGAAGCGGCCTGAGTCTGAGGAAGCATATTTTAGCCTAGCCGAATATAACCTCCTTTATACCGAGGCACGCCGAACAGTCCATTGATGACACCTCCGCTAGATTTTTATGTCGTTGCCTAAAAATTGCCATCAACAAAAGTGGACACCATTGTGGCATTGCGACGGAAATTTTTATGGAGAGTCCATGGTATAAAGTAGCTCTGTGCGAAAGGCCAGCTTCATACAGTCGTGTTGCTACGTGCATGCAACCAGGTTAAAGGAATGCTGAACCTAAATTCGTATTTCAGAAAATAAGGCCGCAGACACCGTTGGTTAAATCACATCTAAAAGGTACTTCTAGTAAAGTGCAAAGTAAATGAGACGTTATAACGTCCCATTTACGTACCAGTGTACTTGAAGTAAAGTACTATAAATACAATGTACTTTCAAAGTAAAGTACAAGTTTTTTAACATAATCTTTCATGATGCCCTTTCATTCCCCTATACAGTGATTTTTTTTTAATTGGTATGCATTACCCAAGGGTAATCAAGGAAGCATGACCTCAAAAACAGCGGCGAATATTTGATAAAATCAAGCGGCCGCAGAGTAGTTTTTTTTTTTTTTTTTTTTTTTTTTTTAGGAATGAAGTTATATTCAGAAGACCCTCTTCTGAATTTGGCGCCCCTTGCACTGGATTGTTTTACCCCAGGGGGTTAAATGTACTAGGAGAGAGCATGACGTCAGCACCGTAGCTTCCGCAAGCAATCCTCTCATAGAAAAATGCCCTCTCCTTAATAAAAAAATAAAACAAAAAAATAAAGATGCAAGCGTGCTGGTGATAATTAATCATCATGTGACACCTGCGATTGGGGTGCGAAAAAAACTAAGGAACTTTCAAATAGAAGGAAAAGGCAAAAGAGAATGTCTCAAACCAACGTTCTCCTCTGTTTCCTCTTATACGTCGACATGGAAATTGAATTTTTTCGCACCACACACTTAGGTGCTACATTATGATTAATTTTTCTCTCCTAATATTTCAAACCTCCTCGCTTGCGCTGACCGACTGAGAAGTAGCAAGAGTTCAAAAAACCTACGGGAAAGCCGCTCCCAGTATAAACGGGGCGATGCGTCGTCTGCTCACGTTTCTGGTGAGTAGAATATCCCTCCCAGTATTTGTTCGGAGTTGACAAGGCATCACTTCGTGATACAAATTTAACAAAAAGAAATTTGGGCAATGCACTTTGAAGTCGGGAATTTTACTTTCCTCGGAAAGTAGCAGAAAATAATACTTTAAGTACAAGTACGTACTCAGAGAATGTACTTTAAGTAAAGTACAAGTTTCCTAAACCTAATTTAAGTAGTACTTTAAGTACAATGCGCTTAAAGTACTTCCCAACACTGGCCGCAGACGTGTTCAGCAGGACGCTACGTGCTTGTGCGTGAGTAAGTACTCACGCACAAGCACGTAGGTGTTTTTGTGAGACTGAGTAAATTGTATGTATGCTTTCTTTGTGAATAAACTTATTATTATTATTATTATTATTATTATTATTAACCCCAAGACACCACTCATACAGCGATATCCTGAACGGATCGAGCGATATTTTAGAGAAGTATCGCTCGATGTACTGCTCGTCGAAGTGAAGTGCGCACACCCCGGAGTTTTTCTGAAGATGCGTGTCTCCCCTCGGAATATTCCTGTCCCAGTGAGGGAGTAGAGAACTGGGTCCTTCGGCGCGGCGAACAACGTGTGTTTTTCTTTTGCAGACCTGTAGCCTGTCGTGCATCCTGGAACGAAGCAGTGCTTCGCTCGCTGCTTTTTCTTCACGCCGGAGGTTGACGGGGCAACGTCCATAGTCTCCACGTGTCACCTGACGGACGGGCATGCAGGAACGGTTGAAATAAATTCACACGAGCGCTGAAGAACAGATGAAAGCGGGCGTGAATTCGTCGCTACCCGCCTTGCCGCACGCAAATCCCCGCGCCAGCTGCGCGCGCCTAGCATACACGCTGACTAGAGCGCCCCTGACGGTGATTTTCAAAACCGGCCGCGGCGATGCATGGGAGAGCCGGCGCGCTCGACACACCCAACTCTCTAGCCACCCTATCGATACTATGGTCGATACAGTGTTTACGTCCAGGTACGTTTGCTCATCCAGATTGAAACAGGCGGGGTTGGGATCAAAATCAAACCCAGGGTCCCTGGGTTACTTCCGACTGTCTAAACATACACAGAGCACAATTTTTACCTGTAGGAAAAGAAGAATAGTAAGGTGAGCGTATCGCTTTCTAACGTCTGCGAAAAAAAAAAAAATAAATCACGTAACATTTAACCTGAACCACTTCTGTTAGGGGAACCAGTACCGGACGTGGCAACGTGGCCGCCAGTAGTACCAGTGCCATATGTGCATGCGATTATTCCACCAACTTGATCGCAAGATGTTGGTGGAAAGTGAGAACAGAGACGTGCCTACGGCGAACGGTTTGGTTTGGTTTTGGGAGTTTTCCCTTTTCAGCACCATCCTCCTCTCTCTCTCGGGATGGCGTCATGGCCGATAGTGATCCTACCGACCAAGAGATGGCACCACCAGTCCCGTTCGCGGTCAAAATTATCGAAACGGTCGCTTGAGCGCCTGGCCTGCCTGGTGCCCCCGACGTTTGTGACCGTACGTCGAGGGGGTCACGGCCGGGCTCATCCTTCTGCTCCTTGGATTTCGAAAATCCACGCAACGCCCGACGGAGAGGAGGGGGGTTAGAGAAGGCAGCAAAGGTTTTTAAAATCAGCTGAAGTCAAATCTCGGAGGTGATTTCAGTCCAAAAGTTTGACAGAATTGTCACCTCCGGTTCTTATAAGACGTTGGCTTTTCCGCATTGTTTGATGGTAGCCACGTATTTTATTAAAAAAGAAAAAAAGCTAAATGCTTTTGAAACAAATTTAAATGTCAAGCTGCATATCAAACGCCACCCTTGCTCCTCCCACCTCAGCAAAGCGGACGCTGGGGAGGAGGCGACCTCCTCTCCAGCGTTCGCTCTGCTAAAGTGGAAAGAAGTAGAGGGAGCTTCCACTTTACTCTTACAGCTCTTGGAGGTGTCTAACTTTATTAACAGTATGACGCCCCGTCCGGCGCTAATCTTGGAAA